CATTAATAGTTGTCTTTGACATACGTCACCGAAGTGGACTCATAGTTCTTCCAGATATATATACAAAAACCAAACTTCAACATCTGTCATTGTGAAATTTATTTAATTTAATGAATTGCCTTCCATGAAATGCATGATGGAGTAGGCGATTATTATATAAAAAACTTATTCGATTAAGTGTTCCGACTTCATTCGTGAAAAACAACGTTACAATATAGCGAAGGCGATGATATTTGCCATCAAAATGTTGTGATTCTGCGTTGATGAATGTGATAAACCAGGATGGTCCAATACGCGGCCCGCAGACACATTCCGTGCGGCCCGCAGAACAATTTTAGCGTGCACCAACCCCTTGGCAGATATTTGTATTTATTGGCAGAACATTTTTGAGTTTTTTTTAAACTATTCCAACTGGGAATAGCCGTTTTTCTAATCCCGATGTCGAGATTGACGTTTGTTAAAATCACGGAATTTCAATGTTGTATCTGTAAAAGTCAAGTCGGTGGCAATAAGAAAACCTTTTGATCAATACAAGGAGAATGAATTAATTGTCTTGTACAGACAGAACCAAACCGATGAGATGAGTCGCGCTTACTATCTAAATTTCGTGCTTTAAGCTCTCGACAAGTAACTCCTCATTCGGAGTGACGTTTTGTGCCTTTATTTTAGTAAAAACAATCCTCTATGATCAAGCTTTGGCCACGTGACAGCAGTGACGAACGGAGCCGACTTAGCGCCGCGCAATCCAGTTTTTTTTTAGCTGGGACCGGAATCCCGACTTAGTTGTTCTTTGACGATGGCAGCAGGCCTGACGCGACAAGTAATAAAATCAGTCAAATATAACAATTCATCATACGATCAGTGTAATAAAAAAAGATGACCAGGTAAACTGGGAAATAATGAATTTTTCTCTACCCAGAACAACGTCAAACCACAGTGTCTGGTGTGTTTTCAGGTAATATCTGTCACTGAAGAATGTAATTTTAAGCGACCGTATAAAACCAAACACGAGAAAAGATACCGATTATACCACGGTATTTCTCGGGAAGCAATTTTAAAATAACTGAAGGCTTTAGAGACCTTCCTTCAAACAACTGATTAGAACGGTAAACTCCAAGACTTAAATATATTTCAAGTTAGTAAACTCACGAGATTTTCATCACTTTTGTGTTTTCTCAGACTGCGGCCCGCGAGACATCCTCAAAAGTTTTTGCTGCCCGGCAACCTCGGACCACCTTGTCAGATTACCAATTCAAATACAGCGACCATCATCTTACGTGAAGACAGATTCCAGACTTCGACGTGTTTATCCCGATCTAATCGACACCATTTTGTTTATGCTCAATTCGGGACATTGCGTTTTGAATACCAGCGTCCACATGATTAGGACGCGACAACACCAACTTTTGCGATTTATGTAATGATTCAGAGATTGTGGAACGTTTATGATAAACTGCTTTACGTTTATCAATGAAAGACAAATGCTCTTCAGACTGAAACACCACTATCATTTTTAAATCAAAGGTATTTTTAGGCAACCCTCGCATATTGCCTTTACTATTTGAACTTGTAAGGTTTACTTAGAGCAGTGGTTCCCAACCTGGGGGTCGCGAAGCACTTTCCGGGGGATCGCAAAACAAAATAATTTTGTTTTTCGCCATAAAATCCATCCTTATCAGTGGTGAAAAAAAATCAATTCGTTTATAGGAAAAATTAAAAACAAGCAACATTGGAAACCGATTTTAAGGCCTGGGGTTCCTGATTCTAGAGAAAAAGGTTGGGAACTGACTTAGAGGATACTATAGATAGACCAGTGGTTCTTAAAGTATGGGTCGCAACCCAAACATGGGCGCGGAAGGTTTAAAAATGGGTCTCGACAAGGTCGTCAATGCAAGGGTAATCTAAGAGGAGAAGGACGAATTTTCAGCTTCCCCAATGTTTCAATTTAGCTTCTAAACTCTGGTATTTAAAAATAATGAAATATAAAATTTCATTCATGGAAAGAACTGTCTTGAGCTCATTGTTACATCACAATTCTGATATGCCAGTCACGTGTATTATTTTTATGGTATCGGTAACCATGCACGTCGCTTGTCGTTGTGTTGACCGCGTGGAATACCCTCTTAGTGGATTAAAATAACCAAAAATGGGTGTCTTTTTGGTAATGTAAATCGTAATAGACGACGCAATGAAAAAGCTCGCTTCTCGACATTACATGATTCAATATCTAGAGAAAATGTGACCTCATCTCGAGGCACCATTTACCGCGAACGAAGCAGTGCGTGCACATTTGATGAGTAAAAAGTTGTATATTGCGAGAGATACCGAAGACAGCTAGGATGTCGTGTTTGCGACGGACAGCGGGCGCCTTTTCTGCTACAATTCGCGACAAGGCACTTGTGCGAGCGAGGATATTTGGCACTGACGGTTATCAAAACTAAGCTCGCAATCGCCTCGATATCCGTGACAACTTGCGTATTGCGTTAAGTAAAATAGAGCTGTGTATTGAAGATATAATGAAAAGGAAATTTCAGTTTCATCAATCTCACTGAGTCAATGGACTGTTTCTAATAAATAGTTGTCTGTATTTAAGTCAAACTGTACTAACATTAAAAACACATTTTGCGTTATTTAGGATTGGGACGCGAGTATTCATAAAACTCAAGATTTGGGTCGCGCTCGAAAAAGTTTAAGAACCACTGCTATAGACAAATTAAAAGTTTGTTTTATTTGACCAACGCAAAGGGACTATATTGCTTAAAAGCGCTGATTACTTTCATACTACACATACAAGATGGTGACAAAGTGTTCTGAGGTAAAATTATAGTTGCCAGAAATCCAGATTGGTAATCGGTTCAAGATTTATTATTAATATTTGTTTTTCCAATATTACTGTCCGTACTCACCAGAAAAGCGGTTAAATTCGCAAAAATGAGATTGGCTTTGGTATTTGAGCCATGGATTAATGAAACTAACGCCCAAAAATCAAGGTTTAGGTAAATAGTTATTTGATTTCTCATGCAGATTATAATTTTAACAACGTAATTACGTGGTCATCCATCATAACATATCAATCAATTTGATTTCTGGAGAACATATTTACAGACAAACGACAGTTTGGTAGCGACGTAAGAACTTTTTCGCAGAAATACCTCTTATAGGATTGGATTATAGTTTCTCCCATGAAAATAGAAAATTTCATCATATTTATAAAAAAATTCTAAGAAATTACAATGAGAAGCTTATGCCGCCAAATAAAAAATATCCATTTGATATGAACAGATTTTATTACGAGCTTGTTTTCTTTTCGTAAAGCTTTCCTTTTACTCCGTATAAATTTACCACCATCTTCACCATATATAAGGTATTTATTTGTTAGTGCGTTGTTATCGTTCGATATATTGGAATCGTCAAATTTATAAATATCGTATCGCAAAGGAAATTTCAAACACTGTAATGAATTGGCATTGATGAATGTCATCATAACAACCCCTCCGTTTAAAAAACGTGAAGTTATCATTAGATGCTACGTTTTAATTTATTGAAATTATGTGTATCGAACATGTCAACAACATAATAATGTCAAAATATTGGAAAATAATTTTGATTTTGGAGATGATGGATCAGCATTAGAACAAAATATGATCACGATATATTTCTGTTTTGTCTGAGTTTCATGTTTCTGGATCCATATATTTTTTCTATTACTGGATTGTGAAAAAACGATCACATTGACATCCTTACATGTCGTTGGTCTACAGTCCAACTACAGCGTCTAGCCTGACTCAACATCAATGTTTCAAACCAGTTACACAAGCAGATACAGGCAAACGTTTTTACTTCAGACAGGCAAGAAATTGAGAAGCCTTGAGAAGACTCGTGACTCATGGGTCTAGTGTCAAATGGACCAAAAGAAATACTAAAATAATGGGTTTTCTAGTTCCATCCATTTGTGCGTGTGATCATATACCATCAGAAAATGAATGCAGAATTACTAAATAAATATGACTAAATTTCCTTTGTTGGGTAGAAGGCTTTAATCCCCGATTGGCTTGGTGGCGGATCCGAGTCATTTTAGGGGGGCACGATGGCCTATAATATACAGAATAAAAATTAATTCAGACTACTCGAGTCCCTGAAAAATGGCGTTTCGCAGTCAAATCGAGTTTACTAAGAATCGGGATTAGATGAATTTTGTTGGCATTGCCTGGTCAGGAATATTTGAATGGATTTGTTAAAATCTGCCTGATGATTTGTTGTTGTTCTTGTCTTGTCCCAGCTTATCAAACGGATTAAACGAAAACCACACAGACGGAAGTTTTCATGAAAATAGAATCAAACAAAACACATGTGCCGAAACAGATTATGTTCTGGCACTACAACTAATGAAAACAATGTTTTGCGATGGCAAATACTTCAGGTTCAAGTTTGGGAATAACAGTCTGCTTCAGCAGCAGGTACACGCACATACATGGAAGCATAACGAGCAATGAGACATAATCACGACGCCTCAATTCAATTGCGAGATTTGCTATAACAAACTGACACAGATACATAAGTTTGCTATTACCACGGGGCACGAAGATGTAACATAATGATACAACCTTGTTAAGTAATAATAAAAACGATATTGACGTATGCTATGCCGCCGGCATTTCGTGCCGTTGTTTTTCGAGTAAGAATTAGACAAGTGACCGGACAACACAAATATAATTAATTTTGCCGGCAAATTATCAGACAATTATAGAAATAGGTATAACTACGCTAGTCTTTGCAAATGAAATCAGCTGTTAGTTGGATACCCAAAATTAACCTAACAAGTTTCGAAGCCTAAAACTTGAATTGCTGTGACCGATGAATTGTGCAGAGGTAGTTAGCAAAATGCTTCCAGAATATTTTTGACTGAGTATTCATATAGACGTGTTGAGGTCGTAGGCCATTGAATAATATTATAACTTAGGTACAGTATGTATCTCATGTGACGAGGCAGGTGCATAATAAAGCATTCTTTTTATAGATTTAGGAAAGAGGATTGAACATGAAAAGACTCAATTGCATTTTGTTTGCTTTACTCGTTATTTTATTCATGCATTGCGCAGTATCTGGAGCTCACGAAGACCATGAACATGGAGACGAAGAAGACCATCATGAGGAAGAAGAAGAAGAATTATGTGAGAATTTGGATTTTATTATACACTAGTCATCGTTCTTTTTACGAATACATATTTTTTACTTTCACAGTGAATGCTAATATATTGCAATACATGAAGGGTGCCAAGCTGAGAGATTATTATGGTAACTTGACAACGCCGATATTGGAAATGAAGTTCGGACTTTTAAGGTGAATGAATGTGAATTTACTACTTCGCTAAATGTCATTGACGTTATTGTTGTCATGGACAAGATAGTGGTATCGTATCAATCTAACGGTTTTATTATCTATTTTTTTGCCAAATTCGTTTCATTAAAACTTGAATAGAATTGGTATAACAGTGAGAAGCTAAACGCTGTTATGGTACCAATCCCTTCGTGTGAGGAAATGTAGACAATTTGACTGCTGACAGGCTTGACCTTCAATTACTTTATCATAGTTCATAAAAATTTAGAGCAATAGCATTTTCTTTCAAATTCAGCAGTAGTTTTCTAGATTTTGAGGCAGCGAAAATAATATATCTAGTAGTTTTTCATTGTGCTTTGCCCGACAACGCCATGCACAAAACCTTTTTGTAACAACGATTATATTATTCAGAAAATTGCACACTTTAAGGTCGTGGATAACTTTACAATTTCACTCAAACGATGTTTTTGTATATGTATACTATTTAAAGACCGAATTCCTTTTTTGCACATGGTGGTGGCAATATCAGATCATCACGAGACAGTTAGATAACAATATATATATTTATTATGGTTGCTTGGTTCGTATTTCCCAATCAATTACGATTTGCACCTAATTAAGTGTTATTTTCAATATTCAACATAATTACAATCGAGTTGTATATAGAAATCAGAATTCATCCAGCAAATAAAACCATTTTTATCAATTAATTAAAGTGGGACGCTTGGAGAAATTACTGGCGAAGTCGGCGAATACATTTTCAATTTACCGTATACTGATATACGTATCATGAATGCAGCAGGAAAAATGACAGGCACCATCGAAATCTCAGCCAAACTGACTGCTAAATCTGGATTCCTAAGAAATAAAAAAATCGACCTTGATGTCAAAGGCACTTATATAATAATGACTAAAGGTGCAAATGTGAACATCACTGCTAACGTTCCAGGTATGTTGAATATATGGTGTATATGAAGAATGAAATATGTTTTGTTGTCTATCAAATTTACAAAGTATTAAATTGAGAAACGTTATAAAGATATTCGATACATCTAAACGATAATATTCTAACATGGCATCAGGCTCTGTTTCTTGAAACGCGCTTTCAATATTGACTGTTTCACATATATATTATTTTTATTTATTTATGAAATTGATGTTGAATTGTCACTGTATTCCAAACAAACACATGACTTCTTACTTACAAAACGAAAATAATTTGCATTTTGTTCAGATATTTTTGAAGGAAAACATTGTGTATTCTCGTTGAAAATTTAAAAAGGCATATTTCGGTTGACTTGCTTTATATAACATTAGTGCTCTATGATCATTTTTCAATATTCAGACATAACTAAAGACAATCTCACAATAGAGGGGTGCAACGCAACTTTTGCAGAGTCCAGCATCATGTTAGAAATCAAAAAGAAAGATGGAAAGCCAAATTTAGTCGAATCATTCTCGCGCTGGGTCGACAGAGCTCTGAAACCATACATACCAGAGATATTTTGCAACGCCGTAGAAGAGTGAGAAACAAACTTAAATACATAAAAAAATATTTCCTAATATATGTATTCTTTAATTGATTCAAGGGTCTTGATGCACACTGACACAAATATATTTTATTCGTCTGACCTATTTGTGTTAGTAGAAAGCAAGATCCTTGATTCACTCAGAATTGGTATTTCCACTCTCGCTACAGTAACTTTACATTACGTATACATAAGTTTCCATCTGCGCAAAAGCATAGGAGAATGATCAGTAGGTAGTGTCGTAGGAACCCAATCGATAGCATAGATATTCGTGCTATGAAAGTTTGTTGATGTGTTTGGCCATGGACGAATTATAAATAAAAAAGGAACAATTCAACGCAAATATTTTTGAAAAGATATATAGATATGAAACATGAAAATGCGTAGCTTTTATTCCTCCTACATATGCATGTATAATAAATTCAAATATATCTCTTAATTATTATTGACATGAAATAAAATGATACCTAACCATTAGGCGTATGTGAAAAATAAATGATTCTTTTCCTTTTCTAGCGAAGTGAAAAAGGGAAATAAATCCAAAGTTGTAAAGTCTGCATTAGCTCAAATTATAGCTGTTATTTTAGGAGGATAAACGGTAAGATTTATTCAAAATTTATTATGTGTTATTTTTTTCTATTTTTATAACCTTTTTATCTTTTTAAATAGATTACATGGAAAAACAGATCGGGAAAGGACCAGATAATGCAATGAATATATGGGAATTTTTTATTCAATGAAATCCTTTGGAAATACTTGTATAATCCGTTATGATAAATCCGGAAAAAATTGCAAAACCATTCATAATAAATAAATCAATTTGTGATTGAATTGTTCGAATTGTATTTCACGGAAGTACAGCATAACGTAATGCTGCTCGAAAAAAATGGAGTATAACTGTTTTTAAGTCTCGGATTACGATTAAAAGATACGATTATAGAGTTTCAAACATGGGAATTAATACCGATTCACAACATTAGCTAAACTGTTCAGGAATAAATAGTCCATGTAAAACTATTTTGGTACAAGTTAATCCAATTTTATGTAATCTCATTTACAAATCATCGGAAAGAATCAAAAGCAGTTGTATGAGTATTTATACAAAACACAATATGAGAGAGATGTGTCGTATTTAAATTCGTTTCGAATAGCGCAATGCTTTCATATATAATATGTGTGTAGGTACCGACAGTAACAAGTGAGTTGATAGCAGAGGCAAAGTTAGTGGGGAAATGTATTATGGATGACAAGATGTGAAAACTGTAAAATTATATTATTGTATCCTATTAATTCTCAAACCAAACTCAATAAATTAAAACAACAATTGCACAAATGTATAGATATATATAAATATACGTCGCCGCCGATATAACTACTGATTTTGTAAAATAAATTTTTACGAATATTCGCCACTGGTACATCACTAGGAAGTAAACAACCCTCACTTATGAGTAAAGTTGCAAGCAACATTAGCCTAAAAAGAGATGAAGCAACGTTAACAAACCTTTAACGTGTTTCCATCAGTTGATGCAAAATATAAAATAGTAGTTGATAGCAATAATCGTGTATTTATCAAATATATTGCGAATATATATATTTATACATAAAAATATTGCTCACGATAATTAACCTCAACGTATTGGTAACATGGAAAATTACGCTTTATGCCACGCTCATACCAAATATGGCCTATGGCCTAGTTACCAGTCCATGTCGAGTATGGGATTTTGTAGCCAGTTATTTGTTTCAGAGACATGAACGTGATGGTGGATGAAACCGTAACCGATCAGCGGTTACTGAACCACCCTTCGGCAGCGAGGAGTCAGCAATCCTCTAGCAAATAATTATCCCCCACGGGATTCGAGCCTGCGAACTGACAGATGGTCATCAGGGGTGCGATGGCAAGTGCATTCCTAACGTTTAGCATGATGCGCCAACCGCCAAGCCAAAAGACCTCAAATGAATAGACACGAAAGTTCAAATGACAAACAGTAGCGACGTACACTGAAATCCGTTACTTGGTCTTTCCAACCAATTCCTACTTGCAAATCGAGTCCGTAGCAACTCACATAGTAGGTAGCAATAAGAGAGCAGGTGAGCACCGGCTTTGCTGGCCAGACCAGCCTGGCATAACGTCACATGGTGGCGTAATATTCGTAAAATCTTGAGAGAAATAGCGAGCCATAGCGAGTATTGATAAATGTAATAGCCTTCTAGCGCTCCAATTACTGAAAATTAAAAAACGGTTGATTCATTCATTTCCGAGGAAACGATTATTTCAATAATACCAAACGTCACCTGAACAGAAACAACAGTTTAGCAAAACAAGCCATATGTACACTTCTGCTCCAAAAAACCATCCAGATTTACTTTCCGTGGTAAATAATCCTGCTTCAAATAACGTACAAGCAAAGAAAGCAGAATAATAATTTCACACCGATTTCAATTTTTACTACCTAAAGATGGAAGAATTCGTTAGAAGTTACTTCTTGACCCTTGTGTCAATTTATCAGATTACTGCTTTTAGTTTAAAATACAAACAAACTGACGCAAGTTTAATTCAGCATGAATGTGTACTCAAAATGAAATTTTTAAAGCACATTTACATCAGTAAGTTTGAAATATCTATTTTCAAATTGTGTAATAATATAAAATGACATTTTGATTCATCTCATTGCGGTAACCACGACATTTCTCACAAGGCCTACGGGTGTAAATTTCGTACTTCACTGACAGTCATCGCGTCGTAAGTATTTCAAAGGGCAGGATATTTATTTTTATAACGACTGATGAAGTACTTCGAAAACGAAAGTTTATTAGGGTAAAAAATAAGAGCGTACTTGTGAATATGACTTCTAGAAACTTTTGCAAAACTGGCAATTTTCTTATATTAATTCTGAGGTCTTAACATAAGCGACTGAAATTCTATGTACCTAGTTTCAGTCATAGTACATGTGAATACCCCTTAGAAGATTTAGTCGTACGTGAATGATTGAAGCTTTGCGATAAAATCTGGATCGTGGAACGCGATTGCGAGGTTCACGACCCGCAAAACGTTGTATATATAATGATTGCTGATCATTTGATAAATATGGTTCGTGTAAATCGTACATCAGCAATACAAAGAAGTTACGCCACATTTCTGCATAAGTTACGCGATCTTGTGCGGGATATAATGAGAATATCCTATTGTCTTCGACGAATAACCGTTTTGTAACGCCGTTTGCCATGTGTATGTGACAAATTACCGCGGTATAAAAAAAAACGAAAAAAGGCAGATAGAATGAGTCTCAAATGTTGTGACAACTTTTGTGATATTTATTTGATAAGTATTCCCGCATGTGTTCAGCGAATCATGGCGCTAGATTTGTTCGTTTTCATACAGTTTGTTATTTCAGTATCAGCAGGTATATATACATGTATATAAACATATGGCATTGCGAAAGCTCCAAAGATCATTCGACGATTCATTATTGAGGCTTACGTTTTACTTGCAAGGTCCATTATTTTAATTAAAATATATAATTTATTTTTAAATTTTATTTTTTGTAACTTACTGTTAAAAATTTAAATGAAAATCTCTATTTCATGCAATATTCCAATCTAACCATTTGTATTTGTTCAGAATATATATATTCACAAAAACTATGAAGTCTTTTTGTTTGGTAGTAGGTGGATTTTTATTATTGCAAAACTCTTTAACCAATGGAGCCGAGCTTTCTGCGTTGGGTAAGTTTTATGCTAATTAATCAGTTTAAAATCTTTATCTGAATAAGGTAACTCAATTAAAACTTTTATCGGTTAAAAGTATCCGATTACGATGTGGAGTGTTTGCTATTTAGTTGGGAAAATAATGGCAATGTATTAATACCGAACATGTTAAATTTTATTACACTGATCTAAATTTTATTACATCTGATTCGACTAACCAGCCCAGAAAGCAATAATTGATAATAGGCTTAGCTGACCATTCTGTCGTATTCTGCGAATTGACCGTTAGCTGTTAGAATATCTGGAAAGGCGTGGCCCGACAGGAAACGATAGCTATAGAGAGTATGGAGCTTTAAATTTTTGTATAAAATAATAACGTATATAACAATTTAATTTAGATTCTCAAACTTTGAATTCATGTCTCAAACTGTCAGTTATTATTAATGATCTTTATTTATGAATGAACGTCGTGTCACCCGTGTGTATGAATACGCCTTTACTTAATTTGGAAGGCTGGGTACCTACCCCTGTTTATATGTGAGATATGTATTTTTATGTTCTCTTCAACTTAGGCAGTTAGGCTACTTTGGTAGGTTTTTGTACGACCTTAACCTTTAACTATTTGGAATGAGACCAATTGTTCTTCATGGGGTGAGTCTGCCATAGAGTGGACATCTGTAAAAGTGCGACATATATAAATTGTTACAACCGCGTCACATCAACCAAATCTTATTTTACAACAGTGTTGGAAATATTGGAATATTGCTTGTTTTTAGATCAAAATGTATTCAAAAGTTTGAAGAAACAAGCGTTACGAACATTGAGTGGTAATTTCACAACGAAAGCCATTCTTATGGAATATCTACTACACAAGTAAGCAGAACTGTCTTTGAATTAGAACAAAAAGCTATAAATTAACTCCAACATAAAATAAATAATAATACGATTGGCCTACAGCCCTACACGATTGAACCGAACGAGAAACCGAAAGCCTGTTGCCAAAACATTCAATATATTCTCAAGTTGAATCGACTACTACTCATTTACATAACTTTATTGTCTTTCACTAACTGCATTGTTCTACATATGATGATGTTAAAAATGATTTCTCAAATTTATAGTCATATAGACCCAGTTTATACTCAAGAAAATCCTTTGTGCATTCATGAAATAGATTATTTTCAAATGTTGATAATTAAAAGAGTAATATTATGCAGAAACATGATTGAAGAAGTTTCGGCGCAATTTGGATCATTCGATATACTTCCGGGAAGAATGTTGACACAACTACCAAAGACCAAGGGCACATTGTCGGGAGATTTTAACGTAGAGATTAAAATGTGAGACAAGTTTAAATCTGTAAATTTCGTGTATCTCGGGATGGGAGATGGGTATATCCATATGAATTTTTCGAACTTGAAACAACATCGTAATTAGACGATTCTGAATCAATAAGTGCTGGCATTTCGTTCTGTTTGAGATTGTTTGCCACTTTTTCCGCATAGGTATGTAAATATGGTTTCAAATCGTCATGTGAACGCCTTTATCAGTAACATGCTTATCAGATTGCCATATAGTAATAGAAGTCTTCTCACGTTAACTATTTCCATCCCACTCGACCTGGCCGCCACCAAAATTTCATTTCAGGACATAAAAACGCTGCCTGGCTTTAACATTCGAATGATGTTTTTTTTTTGCTCAGAAATTGGAAAAAATCCGGTGTGAACTTGTATGCGGATGGAAAATACGAGGCAAGAATAGAAGATGTCAATTTGGAAATAGACATCAGACTGCCAAATGCAAAAAGTAATAATTTAGAATTTTATGTTAACATTGAAATACATTTTTACTCGGACAGTAAGACAAAAGTATGCCAGGGAAACATCACGCATGACGAGTATAAATAAAGCACAACCGGTGTTAGCAACACGATTGGAATGGACACCGGAGTATAGCAGAGGGGGGGATATAAAAAAAACAGGCCCTGATGACGTTTTTCTATACAGAAATTAGAAACGTCGGCAAATTAATTCGTTTTGCTACCTTTTGAGTGTTCGAGTCGGACCACATGTGCTTATTCGCTTGGGCACATCGATATCCTTTTTTTATTTTCAAAGTTATAAAGGATTTAAATAATATTTTAATTTTACTGAACCACATATACAGGTTTTCAGGCACGATGTTGAACACTGACATGTTTTCGTGGCTTTGCTGGCTATCTTACAGTTTTTAGTTGTGTTTGCGAAATTTAGATATAAATCAAATACTTCAATGGTAATTTTGTTTGCCGACTTTTGGTTTAGTTGCAATAGTTCCGAAAAATCTGCGCAAGACTTGGCTAAAATAGGCTTATTAACCAGTTTTATTGGATGGCAGGTGGGTAAATATCTTGATTCAAAATAATGGCTATGAACCTGAAGACAATTTGTACGCGGCAACCGGGTTTGGCAGGCGAAAAAACATTCATGCAGACGGCGGCGTTTTGATTAGCGATCAATCATATGATTGGGAACCAGAACCACGTTGCTTGATATTGAGTATGAGGAGGTTCCGAGGCAATAAAACTTGCCAAACCCAAAGCGCAAAAACGGGGCAAGCGCTCATGATATTTCTTCGATTTAAACTTTACATACATATGTATTGATACGATACTGTCCAGAAACGTTTGCATTTGGATACATTTCGTAACTAAAACATATAATTTTTCATTTTAGATAAATCAATGGGTTTAAATGGTTGCGTGGCAACCGTTTCCAAACTCGATCTTGATCTGAAAACCGACAACGAAGACAAACAGAAAGGGCTGCTGAAGAATTTGAAAGATTGGCTCAAGTCAGCAATGATGCCAGGTTTCTCCATTTTGTTCTGCGACACGATGCAAAAGTAAGTTATTTTGATTCATCTTTTAAATTCACCGTGCGCCTTTCTCCTTCAGAGTCAAATAGTAAATTCAGGCTTGGAAATATACAATTGCATGTCGCTGCAATAACTTATGCAGTTGGTATTAGTTCTGGATATGTACAATAAATTCATTCATTTCATATTATGATTGCAATAATCAGTTTCGAAGAGAGAACTGTGTAGATACGTCAAGCCATTTATCACTACTGCTTCTCTGTGACAGTGTTTTTAAGAGCTTGAATCCATTGTGACAAAACTGGTGCCCAAAATATGATGGACTTTCTTGGGGTGTTATCATGAATCGGCCAGGTATATAATTTTATGATAACGTTCAATAAAAATCTAAACCATATCATTTCAAAGACCCATTTACTAAATGCCTTCTAAATTCACATAATATATATATACACAAGAATTGGATAACTGATTATATCTGTTTATCCAGGTTTCTCGTCAACGGAACGAATACTGCAGTTGTACAAGCACTTCAAAATCGAATATGCATGTTGAGGCCAGAAACCTGCTGACAGCCTCAATAAACACGAATGGTTTAGACTCCACACAGTTTTATATACATTATCCAATCACAACAAACAATGACTCGAATGGAATCTTACTGTGTTGTCGCTTTTGTGAATGCCCGAAAGAAAATATCGTGGTTCGCTATAATTTATGCCCAGTCATCGATGTGTAATTGTCATTATCAGATGTCGAAGATTACTAAACACTAAAAATAAATATAGTTCAAGTGCGTAACGAAGTTGCATTTTTGAAAACATTTTTAAATATCATTGATTGAAAACTGCCACTACTCATCGTGATGAGCCGAGTGTGGGCTTAATTCTGGATTGGGATGCATATATTTAATAATTTTATAAAAACTTAGATAATTATAGCTCATCATTAGTTTATCAGTAAATATTGCATGTCGCCCCGGGTTATTTTATCAAGTATATGATGAGGTGGAATCAAACTATTTTAATATAAAATCGACAATGTGAATTTAATCACTGTAAGATATTTAGAGCTACGATCGCTTTTATTTTTTAAACAGCCCTGACATTAGACCTATTTTTTTCGATTATGCCAACAGTATAAAACTTGAATTCGAGTTGTGCATGATGAAAGCTTTATTGATTATGTAATTATTATACTCTGCAATTATTATATATACTATAAATCTAACATTGGGTCAATTTTTTCTGTAATAGTGCCCGTTGGAGGGTTTAATATGACGTGATAAAAAATCAACTGATGTATTCATGCTTAATCTGGACAGAGGGCAACTTCGTGTGACAGCACTATGTGGCAGATTTCATTTCGTATTTTCTGCGGCTTCTTATTTTAACGATGGTCCATATCATACAACGGCATTTTTATACTAGTTTGCCTGTTGAAAGTCCCGAGACCTCACAGAAGAGTCACACGAAACCAAAAAAGCGCTAAGAGCTATCATAGGTTTATTCCGACATAGATGCCAGTGAATTGCGGTTGGCACGAGACTTCGAGAACAATTCGAGTGAATATTGTAGCCTACAGATAGATAAGAAGAATGAGATTCTACAGCAGAAGGTATTGTGGAGAACTTTTGATAACAAGTTGGAACATGTACATAGCGCACGGATGAGACCAAGCGGAACTACCAAAATTTTTCATCAGAGGAAACAAGGGAGAGGGTTGGAAGTCTGTATAACACCTGTGAAATAAGCCAAAGCTACATTTCATCGACAGGAACGGCCATATTTATTTTATTTTTTTTCAATTTTATCAAGAATGTAAATTACGTTCGTGGAGGTCCAACCCATAAAAGGGCGTGTCGTGGACTTCTCGTGAAGCGACGTAAGCACTCCGATGATAAGTATCAATGAGTGCAATCATTAAACCAGACTTTCTTGAAAATTTACCCAATGAATCATACCATGACCTATTAACGAATGGAGTTTCATGTGACAATTCAATTGAGTTAACATCAATTTTAAGGTAACAATTGGTGGATTAAAACTGTTTTTTTGGTAGGCTTCATAGAACCAATACGTGGCTTGTCACGTGCTACTAATCCGTCACAAGAACTGGACATTGTCGAATACCTGATGATTTCAGATTATTCAGTCGGTTGGCCGAATTGTCACTCACAATACGAAACATGTTTCATCAATAACCCACTGGGAAGAAAAGAGTCTTATGCCATGTTGGCAGTTTAAAAATACAGAAGCTGATAGTCTGTGCCTGTTCCGGATATGCCGCAGAGCGAATTGAAAGAAAAACAGCCTTGGTAATCGTAACGTCCCCACGGGATATGGCTTTCCTACAAAATTGAAGGATTCAACTCGATCATTGGGTGGGCAAATATATATAGGCTATATACCGGATATTATTACAATGTTGTTCCTTTTCGCGACAGGCGTCATAATAGTAATACAGTCCAGAAACTATATAGATTTTCAGTCCAAAATAAGAGACTTCATCATGCAGAAATGCTAGTATATTCATCATAAGAATTTAAGTGATAATTCTAAACAAATCGTGACAACAGAGAGCAAACTTTGTCCCACTTGTTTTGTGATGTTAACGTTCGAAGATTTTCTGTAGTTTTCAGTAATCGTTTTAGTTTCCTGTGAAACAGTTTTTTAAAGGTAAATTCCTCTTACGTTATAACATCCCAGTTGTCGTGCGTTCGGGATGTTCGTGAAAGGTGTAGAAATAAGAAAGCCTTATTAAATTTATATAATCTCGAGGTTTCAACGAATGTTTCCCCGAGCATAACCGTCCCTCATTACTTCTGTGACATCGACTAATCAGGAAAATGTCAACAGTGACTGTTGAAATGCAGCAGCCGTTCAGAAAAAAAACTTTTCGCTCAGACAGATTTTCAGGCGTCTCAATTCCGTTTCACGGTTTATCAGAAGATAATGTCATTTTTTAATTAGGTTTCCGAAATTTAGGTGTACATTGCATAATTTGTTTTGTCGGCCGTAAAAAATTTCAGTTCAGCTGCAGTAAACAAAACTTAACCCGAAAAAGCTGCGATTGAAAAAGTCAAGATTAATTACCCGCACTTTATATGACAGCCTTGAGGGGTGGTTAACTAATTTGAATTGAAGGTCGTGGAAACATCCATGCTCTTCTTAAATTTGTTTCCATAAGCAACACTTCGCAAGCACATTTTCAGGTGGGCTTTATTAATATTTTGTATACTGTCGACGAGTAAACAAATCGGTTGATAAGCCGTTTTTTATCGCATTAAAATCTATATATTATATGAGAATGAAGCATTATTTACCTCAAAAAGGCGTTGTGATCTGGCACGTCAATCTGCTCCAAATCAAGAAAATGACGTGATATCTCGCGCAAAATTGTCACAAACAGTACTTGTATCTCCAACAATCTGAAAATGTCAAAACAACTTTAATTTGTGACGAACATATGTTTCTCCTCCCAATCCGCAAATATTTCAACAATGCTAAAAGCATATTTGCGGGATAGAACCAAAAGTGATTTAGCAGCCGAAGTAGGACATGCAAAAATACAGAATATGGTGCACTTTAGTGAAAATGGTACATCCGAAAAACGAATAATTAGAACCAATCATGGAGATACTGTCGAGTTTATAACAGTTGTACTGTCGAGTTTATAACAGTTGTCCGAAACAGGGTAACCTACTCTTAATCAGTCATTAAATTCGCCGTATGTAAATGTATAGTCAATCAAGCCAGGTCTTAGATATACGAACGTTACATTTATTCGTCGATTTTTGATTTTTGCGTTAGCATACCATCTTTTATATGATCTCTGTAATTCATTATGATGGTGAATCCTATCCGGAAAGGACAAATTAAAACGCCCTTTTCAACTCTGCTATCAAACGCGCATTCTTGATCTGCGATAAGAACCATTCAAAAGAAAGGCAGAACATCGACGTACAATCAGATATTGCCACAAACTATTTTAAAGTAGGTACATTCGTAATGAGCATACGATCTTTTTGGCACTACATTGTAGAATCTTCAATCAACCTTTGGATATTTGGAAATATTTCGTGAAAATAGAGAAAATTTGCAACGAGCGTCAATTACCAGCATTTCATTATTTATTGTTGGTATTTTTTTACGTACGCCGATTTAGGCAACTATCAGCAAAAGTCGCGAAATACCAAATTTGCTTTCTAGCGTTTTGGCAGACTATACAACAGTCAGTTGGGGCCTAGCTCGTATAACGGCGTTTCATATTATTTAACAATTACCTACCTATTTACCATATTTTTGTAATTCACTCTCTGACGTGATCTCAGCGATCTATCACAGAATGATTGCCATCTTTCGTGAAGATAATCTAATACGTTATTAGCGGAGGTCAAAGATTCGTCGGTGATATGGCGAAGCACAACAACAATTTCCAAATATTTCTTATCACTGCGGTACAGCAATGCCGATTCCGCGATGTAAGGTGCGTCGCCGACGTCTTGGAATGTTCCACTATCGCCAGCATCAATGTGAAACACTTCGGGAGTTTGAACATATTTAAACTGCTCGATTGTGGCTTTTGATTTCAGATAAGACCGCTTCGCAATGTTGAGAGGGTGGAATAGCGAGCAGTAGCCTTTTAGTTGGTTGTCAAAACTTGTTGCAAATCTTTTTAGGAAACAATCTTCATGTGTCCCGTCTTCTAAACATTCACCCAAGGCAGCTTCGTCTAATGTATTCCATTTTTGTTCTCTGGTTAGGCACCACAAAACTCGTAAGGTTAAGCAAATAAGAACGCTCGCAATTTGACTTTTTATGATTGCCAACGACATTTCTCCATGCGACAGTCGGTCTCGTATACGCACTCCGTCCTGAAGCATAAATAGATCCATAAGTACCATCTGGAAACAAGAGAGCAATGCTTAAATACAGTTCTGAAAATCAAAAAACCAATCGCAACACCGATGTGATTCACAAGGGGATGTGGCTGAGCAAAAGAGTCCGCACAACCGAAGCGAAGGACAATCGAGGAGATCATATTTATAAAAAAAATACGTTCCATGAAATAAAATGGTGAAATTTTAGGTGAAACATCGGAGCTCATGGACTCTTCTGAAGACCATTTCCATGTTCAAGTACTAAATTTCAAATCGTTTGGCTTATTAGTTACGGAGAAAAAGGATCTTCCCGCCACCACAAAGGAAATCCCGCAACAAGATTAACAACAACGATTCAGCAAAACGATCCGTACCCAAAAAGCATTCCATAGAAACGTTGAGAGCGCACGGTTTTAAGCGCGAAAAACACGAAATTAGCGTCCGAAAGCAGAAATCGTTGCGGATAACCATGTGACAGCGCCTCCTGCGACAAACGTCGAACTATTTGCAGTCGCAAGGTGATAGGCTTCCTCTGTGGATTAACGCCAAAGAATGCCATAACAAAACCCTTACACCAGATATACGGCAAGGCAGCGATATATGAATACATCAATTATTTCAGCAGGATACAGAAACATATTATTGTGACACAAAATTATCCCACACAAAATAACAACAATGAGCGGGATCACTTTGTGCCAGGACTGTGAAGTGCGAAAATTGACATAAGAGAATTGGATTCTTTTTCAGTTTTATCAGACTAAAATGCATTTCTGGCTAAGACTCTAGAGCAGCGTTTCCCAACCTTTTTTTGTCGCGGACTATTTTCTCACCGGCGAAAACCTTTGCGGACTCAAGGTGCGTGGTATTTCATCTGTACTCTGTGTGAAGAGATAGAGATAGAAAGATAGAGATAGAGATTTATCGTTTTGTCAACCGTAAACGAATAATGGTATACAAAATAATATATACAATATACACAAAGTTAATTCGGTATAGACTGGGGGGAGCGATACGACCATTCTATACCGAATTAACTTTGTGTATATTGTATATATTATTTTGTATACCATTGTTCGTTTACGGTTGACAAAATAATAAATGAAGAAGCAATTAAACCAAACACAAAAGAATTTTAACGAATTTCAACAATGGCTTTTTTGTCGCACAATATTCAATCCATGACAACGACTAGAATTTAAAATGTCTTTCTATTCTAATTTAACTGTGTTCAGTCCCTCGCTGTTGCGTCTTCTTTAAAATGCCACGGCAATCTGCGAACATAATAATAATAATGGCCATAATAATGAATATATTGCCCGATTATATTTAGTTTTGATAGATATTTTTTGCGATTTGTTATCACCGTTAGAAAAATCCTACTATCTGCTATAAATTTCCAGAAAGTACAACCTAATTTAGTACTTATTAAAAAATATATTTAAAGTATATTAGTAAATCAAAAATACATATTCATTGCCTGTTTTATTATTAATTTAATTGTGATCATTTCAATCTGCGGTTGTGTCGACGAAATAAAAACAATACTACTGAGAAAATATCATGACAATCCTTGGACACAAAAATGCGTGGTAAAGTGCCCGATTATATTTTGATTCATATTTTTGTGAATTCGACAAATCTGAGCTGTTCGTACAACACCTACGGCGGTACTATACGTACCAATGTGGAGGCAGTTTGATCAAGCATCGCGCAAGTGACCTGTCGCGTCACCTGTTATCGAATTTTTGAATATTAAATTGCTATTCTACTGGCTGAATATATGACTCGATTAATGTTATGTGGATAAACTTGCTTTTTATGTTTTATGTAAATTCCAACGTAAATCGTCACTTGGCTGATAGTTAAGTTTCACAAAAACGTTTGCGGCCCGCAGTGAATTTCTGGCTCGTTGCGGACTCATTCAAACGCTCTGTGGACTTATTTGAGACCGCGGACTCGGGTTGGGAAACACTGCTCTAGAGAGTCTAGTGAGATTGGAAGTCCAGATCTCACTTGAGGCAGTTTGAAGATACGACTACATCTCTTGATTCCATTATCCAATAAAATTAATACACACCAAACTCCCAACTCTGCTTCAAGCACTACCATGAAATGTATACATAGGCATCTTTTAACAGTAAGAATATCCTCTCTACGCTATTGCTAATAGACCTACATTGAACATTCATGTTCAAATCCAGCAGGTGATGATCATGAGGGAAAACGGAGTTACTGGACTTATCATGAGATGTTTCCGTTAACTGATGGCCAGGACAAAAAGTCCTCCAGGTACTATAATTCTCATAAATAAAATACAATACTGTACCATGATCTCATCTCCCAACACAAATCGAACTCTGTTTTCTGAGCCATCATCCAAATGCTGAGCAAAAATCTGCCATAAACAATATTTTTATATGAAACTGAGGAAGAACACAAATTTAGAATATTAAATAGGTTGATAAACCGAAAAGCAGATATATAAACAAGAGCAGTGAGAAATTATGCAAATCACTTTTATTGCATTGACTAGAACTGCAAGTTGTATCAATTCTGAATAAGTGGCTAAATGCAGTAAAAACAGCTTTAGTGTTGACATAAAATAGCTAAATAATTGGGAAGTAGGATGGGATTAACATATTTATCACAAGAAAGAGGAAAGTGTAGATAAGACAGCTTAATCATATGGGGAACATGGCCTTTCGTCCAGTTACCGGTCCCATCGGGTATGGGATTAGTTACTTATCCGTTTTCGAAAGCATGGACTTGATGGCGGAGGAAACCGTAACCGCACCTGCGAACTCACGCAGAGTAACCAGAGGTGCGGTGGCGAGCATATTCCCACCGCTTAGCACGATGAGTCAAACTGCTGCATCTTTTCTCTCTTATCCAGGGAATTAAATTTACTACCAAAACGGTGGAATAGGATCCGCCGAAAAGTTTGAGTCATGGCTCATATTAGCGGAATGTGGAGCATACTTATGACAGGAAATATCTCCACAAACCTCATCGAGTGTGGTGTATAAGCTAGAAGATTCAGCAGTAAGAATCCTTTCTTCACAATCATTGCTCTGAGCAAAGAGTATTCTCAACAAGGTTTCAAAACAAGGGATGATCAAGGTCACACAATCACCAAATCTGGAATTTATTATATATAAGTGCACAAACATACTATATACAAAAGTAGGTGGTTATATATCAAGAAATAAACTTTGTGTGTAAAGTGTCTAGTATTGTAGCAGCGAATACATTTCCTGATATGATTTTCATAATTAATTCTTAAAAGCGAGGCCAGCAAGCACATTTTATAACAGATTAATTGATCCAATCAATGAAATATTCAATTTATATGTACAAACTCACTCTTTCTGAGCATACAGATTGAAGCTTTCATCAAGAAATGGCCACAAAACTGGGCAAATATGACTGTCTGCTGATATGCATCTCCAAATTTCATCAACATCTTCTAGAAGAGATGTGCCTAACATGTATAATACACATTGATAAGGGCATCACAAAGACACTATCGAAATTAAATTTGAATAATATGAAAAGATCAGAATGATATAGTATCCAGGGATGTGCAACACTAAAAAATCAAGTATTCAGAATACATTTTTGGAAATAATCTTTTCAATTATGGAAAGAATTATAAATTGGATCAGGTCAGGGGTGATATGAAGGACTATTTAAATACAAAAAATTTGAACTTGAAGAAAAAAAAGAGCACGAATAATATAATTGGTTCACTATTTAATGTTCAGAAATTAAAGGATATTTTATATCATAAGCGGAATCCTAAATGCTCAAAATAATACTTCCCAAATGAAACTATTCTGAATTCTTATCAAAACCAAGAATTTAAAAGAGTGAATATAATAAATCAAAACTCCAAATGAACTAACATTGAAGTCTATCACGAAACAGTTGCATTGGATATGAATCAGAAATAAGTGGTCTTTGTTGAATCTTTACCTCATGTAAATTCAATACTGATGCTAGAGATTCACAAATGCATAGAAGAAGAGAAACAAACCTGCAAAAAAATTTGAAAACAATCAGCTTCTATAAAAGATTCGTATGAATGGAAAAGTTAATATACTGCGATTCTCTCAGTATCAGAATCACTTACGTTTACGTCTTACATAACGGTATTCTCAACTATGATAATATCAGTAATATGGAAGTATGGAACCTGCCATTTTTGCTGCTTAGGTTAGAATTGCAGTCTTATTTTCTTCCCATGTCAAAACATGAACAAAACTCCATATCCCTGATAAAAATCGCGATATTTCTTAACAATAGGTTTTATTTTTCAATCTTATTAAGGCTAACACAATATTTTCAACAATATAAATCATTTAACATAAAACGTACACATGTGGGATTTCTGCAGGTCCTAGAAATCCATGCCACACCAAATTTCTCAAATTAATACCATGTGGGTTTCCAATCAAAACCTGTAATAGCTTCATTCTGTTTGCACCAAACAACTTCCAGAGTCCATCATCCAACAGTAAATCCCGAAGTAAAAATGGACATGTTCCTCCCAGCGATACACAAGCCTAAAATAATCACAACATACATTATAGCTCAGTTATGAAAACTACACCAAGGTCCTTTATAGGAGAGTAGAGTTGGCGAAGAGAATATGGCATTTTATGGAGTATGAATAGAAAATAATGCCGATTCATACTCATTAACTATCAATCTGTAATAATAGATTTACATAATATAAGATTTAACTAAAGAATACTTAATAAACTTTGTCATGATATTGCCAGTAAACAGTTATTAATGCAATGGTGACTTACTGAGGGTTATGATTAAGAATTTCACATTTGCACTAAAATTGATAAAATATTATTTGGGTACTGTTGATGTAAGGTAGGTATTAGCCACTTCAACGGCAGTGCTGAAAAGGCTGGGGGAAACACCATGATTAATAGATACCGTATGTTAAAAACAATAAGATAAATCCAGCATTTGGGTACATAATTATTCCATATTATTTGAACATGGTTTTCCTATAAAGATCAATCTGTGAAACCCTCCTGTGCAATATTAATTGGCAAACAAAGCAATCCTTACATCACCAAGTGCTCTTTCTAATGCAGATGTAAACTTCAGTAGTGCCAACATCACTTGTGCTGGCTTTTCGACCATAAAGATCGTCTGAAATGAAACCATCGTATAAGTCGAGAGCCATGTTTCTATATGATTTTCAGTGTTATTCAACTTGAAAGGATGTAGCAGCTTGGCATAAGGAGAAATTGCCTTCAGTGCCTCCAAGTACGTTGCTGGAGCACCAAGTTCAATGGAGGAAATAATTGTACCAATAGATTTCAAAACTTCATCCTTTGTAGGTTTCTGAGTATAAGACAGCCCCAAGTCAGCAGTTTCATTAACAAGATCACATATTAAATATTTTACATTTGGTGATAGAAAAGTGTTGATTGAAGAAAGCATTCCATAGCAACTAAAAAAATAATAAAAGATTACGAACACCAGTGCTGCGACAGTGTTATTATAATTAAAAAGATAAATCAATTTGCACAAATGATAGCCAATCATTCAAGGTACATGATATTACAAAGATGTGAATGAAGGCATATACAGCATGTATGCACAACTGTACATGTATGCGTGTACTTATATTCATTATCCTTAGAATGATACTCAAAATTTAATATGACTAAATTCATAGAAATAAGCAACACAAGACCAATTATCCATAACATCTCTTCTCTTCTCTGAGTATATACAACATTTTTTCCATAGATTCTACAAGTTTTTATGCAATTCATGATCAGTTTCAGAAAAGGACAATAAAATATCATTCAAATACTTTTTCCTATCTGTGAAACTAGGACCAACGGGATCAAATGGTTTAAGTAAACCTTGCTTTACGTCTCCATCAGCAGTATACATCACTTCACCTTTTTTCCCTAGAAGAACTCTAAGAGATTGATTAGTCTCACCCAATTTATTGAATAATTCAACACCACCTTTTGCGTAACGTGGAGAAATCTTAGCTGCATCAATGTCGGCTAATTGATTTATTTTACGACTTAAAGCAGCTTTTGTTAATTTACACAAAATGTAAGACAAAAATGCACCAGCAAATACCATACTCAAAATTTGTTTTAATGAAACAGGTACACCCCTTAGAAAGAGCAGCTTAGGTGAATATATAGATGTAAAATACCCAACGATTACAAATGCTGAAGGAATCAATGCTTGATAAATTGCCCAGTTTCTTTGAATGTATGATAGATGCCTTGCAATAGCAAATCGTTTGGCATCATCAGACAACAACAAGCTTTTCATGAGTTTTACTTCACTTTCATCAATTTTTTCGAAAACAACTGGTTTCGATAAACTTAATCGACTCAAATTTTTATTCTTGCATATATCCATTCGAGATATTTCTTCGACTGAGTCGCAAAAATATGAACAAGGTATGCCAATATGACTTTGTCCAAGATCAAAAGCTGAAAATCCAGCACTGACAACATCGGTAGTACGTGCTATAAAAGGGGTGGTATGTAACTCTCCAGGCTTGATCCCTGCATCTCTTTTTACTTGATTCAAAAGTTTTGATGCTTGCATAAGGGATGGGGATGCAAATCCATAAAAAGGTAAAAAGAAGTCATCAGGAAATATATGCTTCAGTGAGTTTTTCAGTATCAAACTGCTGAAAAGAGCTCCAGCTATGATCCGCCTCTTGGTTTTGTTATATATTATTTTGGTAACACGGTGAGCAAATGCAGAACTCATAGTCAAATTTTCTGATCTACATCAAGTAGAAAAAATAGTATTTTTACAGATACAACAGATATACTGCAAAATTCCAAAATATTGTTACACAGTAATTCATAATTGACTATACAATAGTTTCTTGATATTCCAACATAGTTCAGGTAGTTGCAAGCCAAAATCGAATACTATTTTCAATCACAAACAGGCCAACATTCTACAAATAGGCTATACCTAATATGTTCTTCTTGTTTTCTCATTAGGGGATCGTAAAAAAACGAAAAAATATTCCAAATTGGGTCTTGTGCTACTAAAAACATGCATCGTTGCATATTTACAGGGATAAGAGAATAAGGTAAGTTACAGAAAAGACAAAACTATCACAACCGGTTAACTGTTGAAAATGGGATGAGAATTGCCGCAACCTTTTGTGTTTATACAAAATATGTAAATAAAGAAATATATTCAAAACAATAGAGCTATGCTCAAATATATGGACACGTAGCGCCACCCAGTGGCAATAATTTTGATGACACCATGACAAAAAAGTAATAGCTTTCTGAAGAAAAATTTGTCCCGTAATCAAAGAGAAAGCGATTTCTTCAAAACGTAATAAAGAACAACAACATAACAACAAAACGATCGCTATGTCTACTACGTGTCCAATAATCTTCATCGTCTATTGTCGGCTCAAAAGACATTTAAAATCAACTCCAATTACCAAAAAGTGATCAAAAGTATAGAGTGATTTCGTCCGCTAAACCCCCACTTGATGAAATCAATAACCTACAACTGCCAAATTAATACAGGTAGGTGTTGGGTTTACTGTGGAAATTGTTTTCGGTCTACACCAGGAATCCTCAATCGGGGGTAAATTCGACCTGCATGGGATGTGGCCAAACGCAGCAGTCATCCACATCACTCGATACAGCGCCGAGTGAGGTAGGTATGGACGGACACGCCAGTGCGCGAGACACCGTCTCGTGCCACTTTTTTTTGTGGTTCCAACACAGTGGAATTTTCAAGGGGGTAGATTTCTCTTTTCAAATTTGCCAAGGAGTAAACAATAGAATAAAGGTTGAGAACCCTTGCTCTGCTAAATATATCAACGTCTTCAGCACCAACATTTATTATGCTGAATACAACAACCGATGAGGTGATATATTTGACAAAATCCACCAGCCAAAGACAATACCATCGCAAGTCAGTTATTTTCCAGCTTGAATTGATCCTTGCCACATGTGAAACAGTGAAAGGAATAACTTTTACCCACTTCCAAAACAAACAAGAAAACACCTCGCTACTATACAAAGCAAATTTATTTTTTGTTAAAATACTCATTGCACAAGAATAAGAGTGCACTAACCAACACTAACAAATGATCAGCATATGTGCTAAATAAATATATATATTCAAACAAATTAATATATTTAATCTACAAGCATTGAAAAGACGTGCATCTAACTTGGCTTAAATTTTATATAGAAGATGGAATTTCACAAGTTAAAACACAAAATTATCTGCTCGAAATGCAGAATGGAATACACAGTCTTTTTTCACTTGAAAATAGTGAACCTGAACCAGATAGGTGCAAACAAATATGGAAGATATCGTACCCATTTTGTCACGCTTGACAGTTACATGATTGTTGAAAAAAAATTTAAATTCTAAAACATATAACAGCACTTGCAGAATATCAATAAGGCACAATGAGCAGAGCAAAATTGTTTACTAATTTTAACTAGAGTAGACATGGCCGTATTAGACAAACAACTGAATATACGCACATCAAAGTTTGATATTTCATAATCAAACAATGTGCTTGAGAGGTATTCAAAAATCCATAAACATCCACTCCGGGGAAAAATTCTTTAGACTATGAAAGATTTAAAGACAAGCCCTATTCTGTTTTGGTTGAAGTTTAAGTATTTTTGTTTTAGAGTTCGGAAGCACCAGCAATTCTGACACTAGAATTAATAGAATAATCAGACAATATAAAGTTTCGAAAAACGACTCAACGGCAGCTAAAATTGCAGAGCGTTGATGTCCTACTCGATTACACTTGCTACATGTTTTACATTTATTCGATACATTGCTAAAATCAGAGCGTTGATGTCCTAACGGCATAACTCGTACTTTCATAATTAACTTACATCTGCTAATGATTCTTAAATATCATCATCCATATTTACCCTAGATGTGGAAATTGGAAAAACAAGAGTTCTTGATTTCATATATGAAAGGTCAGGTAGCTTTTGCAAAACAAGGCGAGTCTCAGGGCTGAGTTTACTTTCTTCTTCTTCCCATTTTGAGGCATTCTGTTGTGCAAACAATGTTGAAATAGTGCTGCTTGGAGATGAATTATTGCTTGAACTTTTGATCGAGGCCAGAATCTTGCTGAGTGTAGCAGATCCACTATCTTTTGGTGGTGGAGGGGGTTCAGTGGTTGGAGCTGTTGTGAGTTCTAGTAACTCTGGGTCTATGAGGTCTGTTAAGAAAAATATTCCAGATTATTATCCTTGGATATTGAGATCACGATAAGTACTTGTAGAAGAAATGCATAACCAAGTAACATGCAACTGCAAAATTTGATAATAAAACAGTGGAAAATTAAGCACTACTTCAATATAAAAGCAAGCAAAGGTCACATGCAGTTAGTGTTAGTCACCCTCACCAGTATGCTACCTGATTTAACCGATGATTTCGAACCATCAACACTGAGTTTTTCAAAATAATCCAAGTCCATAGAAGATGAAATGATTGGTATTGGATCGCTCATATCCACTGAGCTTTGAACAGTGTCAGAATTATTTGTAATCTCATCACTATGTGACCAACTACCATCTATAAGCATGCTGTTCCCACTACCAGAATTATCTACAAGAAATTTATTATGAGTATTATTATGAATGAATTGCAATGAGCCATAAATTAATGCATATCAATTTTGAGTAGTATATTTTGTGAAAAACTAGAATAGATTGAATCAGGCTTCTGCGATTTTTTGAGCTAAAATAAATGAGTCAATCTTTTGTTGTCCAATTGAAGACACCCAATATCGCCTGAAGAGAAATTATTGTCTCTATATGGAAATAACGCACAATGCTCCAGAAATATCACTTCATGTTTTCATTATAATAAAGTGAGCCATGAGTTATTTATGGAATATCAAAAAATATGAACAATGATGTAAATAGGAATATGGGCAAGATAGACAGTCAGATTAGGAATAGAATAGTAGGATTTACGGTAAGTGTCTTGCGAACGATTACTTATGAAAAATCTTTTACTAGTGTCATACTGTACTTGTGACTGTGTGCATTTGAAAAGTAACGTAACGGCCAGTTTGAAAAGTCATTAAACATAGTAAAAAGGGGTTAAATAAAAGTTGAAGTCAAGGAATAGCAGCATAATGCATAGAATGTTATATAGGGAGGAAGTCAAAAAAAGCCGTACATTATTCTCAACATTTTGCTTTTTCAGTTTTAAAAATGAAGTAAAACTTGTTTATCATAATAACATACTAGGGGTTTAATTTTATCGAACAACACAAGTGTCTGTAAATTGAAATTATGTTAGAAGTTGTATATTGGCCCTTGGAGCAGTTCAAGTCAAGACGCTGTTGTAGAATTGCTATTTTCAACATAAAAATTCAATCAATTAAAATATTAGAGGACAACATGGAAACAATCACATATGAATTTATATGTGAAACTAAATTAGACATGATACCAGGCTGAATATGTATGCTGAATATTTTTGATATAGATATCAAATTATACTACTGTGAGCTAAATTAAAATTTTCTGTGTGTGTGGAGTTGGAATCTGATATTCTAATACAATGCACTGAGTACTTTACCTGCAATAGTTTTCCATTCAGAATGTACCTCTTGTGCTTTGGAAGCCTCCTCCTGTCAAAATAAATCAAAAATCATAGTTGAACATTAAAACTGAGATGAAAATTAAATTAATATTATTTGGAACGATTATATTTTGTCGCTATCTAAAATAAATATTTTATATTGGGAATGGAAAATTGGTTTTCACATTTGGGAAGCCAGCTCAATTCCAGTATTGAAATAATATAGAACTCAGGATTTTTATAGAAATAAAGGAACATAATCTGCTAATGACACAACTGCATACCAGAAATGTAGCATGTAATTTCAGTTTTACCAGCTACTGTCTATGCTCAAATAGCTCATATTTATACTGATATTGACCAGATAATATGAAATTTATTAACAATGAAAACTATGTAAAAATCTGCTCGTTAAGAAAGTCAACAAAATGGAATCATTATGAGTACCAGTAGTGCCGGAGCATTCTTTTCAGTCGGAGATAATGCTGTGATTTTTTCGGCAGCTGACATTGGTTTTAACACTCCTTTGCTTGGATCGATCATACCCTAAAACCAAGCGTTATTCATTTACTAAGTACTTGATAACATTTTCAACCTCTTGAGTGAGCTGATAGCCATACGAACAAACACTCTGTCTGATTATGACTAAGTGGGCACATTAGTCATGAATCCTGAAAAGCATGGAATTTTTACAAATATTAAGGACTATATTTCATGTATATCACAAGAGATAAATAATAAATGAATATAAAATTTACCAAAAAAACTGAACCATTAATATTCATTACTGAAAATTTAGTAGCTACTAATAATGATCATAAATTCGAGAGCATAGTTGAAAAATTTCAAATAGAATATTAAAAAGCAGTTAGATTCTCTCATATTTCAGTCACAGCCTGCACTTAAGAGATTCAGGGTTACTGAAGAAAACATGAAACAAAAGTTTAGACTCACCAATCCTGCAGCATAATAGGTTGGAACGTAGTAAGCTTGCTTGGTGCCACTGAAAAGCTAAATTAGATAAACGAGGATAGAAAATACATGAATAGCAGATATCACCAGGATCAATAAAAATACAAATAAATAATAAATCAATAATACTGAATCATTGAAATAAATCGTTGCAAAAAATAAAATTATTTGCTGCAACTCCATTTGCCTTTCAAAACAAAATCTAACTACGGAATAAAAATCATGGGATAGCCATGGGATATTGAAGTGTATATCGTGAAAACTGCACAATGCACATTATAAGGTTTTCATCCAATCTCATATAAAGTCTATTTTTCCTTATAGAAATAGAATATTTCTTATCTAACACCGACTAAACACCAAAGTTTTTTCAATACAAGCATGTAAAATCATTAGGAATCAACATACACCGAATCATCAATACTGTAGAGTTGGAAGATATCACGATAAAACCACACAGAAAAATAGTAAATGAAATGACAGTTGATCAAGTATGGTCACCATCAATGGTCAAACTATGTCCATATGTGATGTGCAGTGATTTTTTTTCAAACTGTTGTGACTGACCTCCCCGTACATGCATGAAATTGATTTTAACAATGCGTGCAAAATTTCATGCCAAAGAAGTATTGTGATTGCCTATAATAATTTGATAAACTGAAGTACACTTACAATATTTTGTGTATGCATTCCTAAAGAATCGAGTAGATGTTTGTTGTGACCGGAACCATTCCACACAAAGTTTAGTGCAAGGGTGTTGTCAATATCTTCTAGTTGGTCCCATAATTCTCCCGAGCTAATGAAAAAAGAAATTATAATATTGTAAAAAAAAGGAATATCTGCTCAAGTGATGTTGGTCAGTTACGTCATTGTGCTGCTATTTCCATGACAGCAATTGGTACCAGCTTCTTTTTCAACCTTTGGTCTACCGGTAATTATCTTTAGGGTTTAATAGTAAATGGGAAATGTGACAACCATATATTCTCGCATATAAGCCGAGTTTAAAACTTTAAAAATGGGTTTCCAAACTATGGGTTCGGCTTATATGCGCATAACTCAGATTTGTACCTAACTATGATCTACCGATAATTATCTTTTAATAAGGTTTAATAGTAAATGGGAAATGTGACTACGGTATATAGCACGAGTTGAAATCAACCGGAACGATGGTATAAATGTCAATGAACAACTCCTTTTAGTGAAGCAAAAATTATAACTCAAAACTGCTTTTACATCCAAACTGTATATTCTGTATATTCAATTTCTAAAACATTCGAAATTCAAGGGTGGTAACAAATCATTAAATATTTTGAACAGAAAAGCTAGATAGTTTGATGGGTAGGCATAGCTAACTAGAATGCTCACAACATAACAAGAACTATGTTCAAGTCTAGTAATTTACATTACCTAGTAGCCTACTTACCATGATATTTGTAAAGATTCTCCACTAACAGTTGAATGATTTTCCGCATCAGAATTCATCAAATCTGATATTAAATGAATTTGACTTTTCGATAAATCATTTTTCTTGTTCAAATATTTTGACACAAAAGATTCCACCTAAAATACATAACAATTGAATATTGCTAACAATGTATAATAGTATATCATCGATTCTAGAACTGAATACATGCTGTCTTAAAGGAAAAATAGAAATTGGACAGTAATTATGTCAAAGATGACCACTAACGGGCCACAATAAAACTCCCGGATGTTTGATTTACTGAATGAATCAAGATTTTAAACTCTCTTATTGGCATTTTAAAAGAAATTTGTAGCTTCATTTCATCATCCTTATATTTTATTTTTATAAAGTGCAATTTTTCAGCTCAGCACATACTGGTAATCCAATGTTTTTAAATGAAAGTTGGAAGACCAAGTATTTATATATTTCAGCAGATTGTGAATTTTTGGATGATGCCAAACATGCAAATGCATTCACTTCTTAGTTAAGCATTTTTTATTCGACAAAAGATTACAGTTCCATCACCATTGAATAGTACAAATTTTCTGTTGGTCTCTACATTTGCACACCATACTGTTACACTGGAACCTGTTTAATGTTCGTGTTCAGAGAACTGCAGTAAAATTTAATGTTAATATTATTTAACAAATAAAGTAATACCAGTAATCTTTCTTACTTTTTCTTTTACAGTTGATACATTTTTCACAGTGTCTTGAACAGACGACCAGGTCGTTGCAGAATCACTCCCAAAGTCTGCAAAATCATTATCACCAGTACCTTCAGCAAAATCACCAAAGTCATCCACATCTGGATCCATTTTGGTTGTTTCCTTAGGAGCAGAAAAATCAGCAAATCCATCCGTATTATTGGCAGTGGTATTTTCTTCAAATGCACCAAAGTCGCATTCAAATGGAACAACTTCACTTTGTGTCAATTCAACAACATTTTTACAATTACTGTCACTGGTCACAAACTCAGTTTCAAAATCACCAAAATCATCATCAGCTTGAATATTTTCAGTAACATTTTCATCTGAACTCTTATTTTCAGTACAAGTGGATGCTGATTCGAAAGTGGCACCTAAATCATCCGTTTGTTCTTTTGAATTTTCAACCGGAATTTTGTCTATTGTATCTGCTGGTTGTGCTGATATAGTTGAATTTTCTTCAATTTGAAGCTCTTTATTATCACCATCAGACACATCCTCTAATTCTGAGTTAATGGGCTTTTCAACTTCAACAGATGCGAAATCAGCAAAGTCTTGATCAAAATCCTCATTTTCTGGTGTATTCTCCCCTGTTCTATTTTTCTCACAGGGATTCTCTTGAACTTCATTTTGAGCAATAGCGGATGCCAATTCATTAACATCAATATGTTCTTTGTTACTTACAAAATTATTAACAACGAGTTCTTGAGATATTGTATCTTCATATACAATATCATCATTCAAATTTCCTTCAAGTTGAAGCTCTTTATTATCACCATCAGATACATCCTCCAATTCTGAGTTAATGGGCTTTTCACTTTCAACAGATGTAAAATCAGCAAAGTCTTCATCAAAATCATCATTTTCTGGTGCATTCTCCTCTATTCTATTTTCTTCACAGGAATTCTCTCGAACTTCACTCTGAGCAATAGCAGATGCTGATTCGTTAACATCAATATGTTCATTAATACTTACAGAATTATTAACATTAAATTCTTGGCATATTGTATCTTCACATACAACATCATCCGATGATTTTACTTCAACTTCTGTTAAGTTATCATTAGGGCTTTTATTTTGCAAATCTTCTGGATATTTAGATGATTTTTCACGAAAAAAATTTTCCTCACTTATTGCACTTTGTTTTGAGGCAATTTCAGTTATATTTATGTCATCAACAGTTTCTGATACAACATATTTTTGATTATTCAGGCAACTTTCATCAGTAAGTGACACATGATCTCCATTATCAAAGTTATCCACTAAATCAGAATTCTTCATATTGTTCTGCGAGAGACTTATATCTTCATCTTTAATAGACATGTCAGGTTCAGGGGAGTTCGCAATTGTATTTGAGGCAGAAGTATTAGAAAGATTTTGATCATCACTATTTGTAATAGAGGTGTCTTGAATATTTAACCGATCATCAGTGAGTTCTGCGCATTTTGTATTTGCCTTCTCTTTATCATTTGAAGATTGAGTGTTTATACTGTCATCTTCAATGTCCGGATTTTTAACACCATTACATTGAGTTTCTATAGTATCATCGGTAATATTTGATTTACTTGAACCATTTAAAGGTGGTGAAGATTGCATTGAGGAATTCACCATATTCTTTTCTTGTTCATATTGGCTTTCACGAAATATTGTTTCCACCTCTGAGAATAAAATAAAAAGTAAATCAACAAGACAGTCAAATGACTATTGCAATGTAAGCAAAATTCCAATCAAATGTTAAAAGAATTGTAGCAGCAATATTTCAAGAGTAAAATAAAAGTAGTATCTTATAGTGATTTCTTTTATTGCTGAAAATGTGGAATTGATCCTCTTTTATGTTGTGGTCTTGTGGAGCAAGGTTATTTATCATGAACTCTTTATCACAATCGTGCAAAAAAATGGATTGTGATTGGAGTAGTGAACGGCCACCGGATATGTAAACGATGCTGCAGTAGTAAAAACTCGAGCAATCCCTCCACACCTAATTATCTCCCACAAGATTCAAAACACAACTCATGAAATTAGAGTTACAAAAATTAACAAAAAACAAAAATTACCAACCTTTATCATTATTCAATTCAATCTTTCCGTTTTCACCCTTGCTATTTGGAAACAAATTTTTGGCAGGAAAATGGGTATCATCACTTAAAAAATGATTAGAATCATCAATACTGGGTGGAGAATTGATAGACGGATATGAATCATCATCATAAATAATGGGAGAAGAGAAATCGTCAAAGTCATCATCATTTTGTGCGCTGTCTTTAAAATCACCAAAATCTTCACCATCATCCATGGGTGGAGGTGTCGTTGACACCATGGGAATAAATCCAGACATGATGTATGTTATTCCAGTTTACAAAGCATCACAATATTTATGTTTGAATTTCGTCTTAAAAATAGTAATAAAAATAATCAGTTCAAAGTATATTTAAAAGCCAGCCAGGCCTTACAAAATAAATTCCCAAATAGAACTTGACAACATGAACATTAGTACATGATTATTTTAACACAACATTGTAAAAGCATCGATTTTTCTGTCCTCAAAAAAAAAACAATTTCTCAAGTTTAGTGTGAGATGGAAAATCTTTTTGCCACAATTATCAAAATATTTTGCCACTTAAAGTTACATGACAGAACAATGAAATATGTCCAAAATTAAGAAGGAAAAGAGTTTCAGAATTCCCCATTACTAAGATATGACACAGAAATATTATTCAATCTATTTCAAATTTAAAGAAATTTAAAATAAACACTCATCCGAGTTAGTCATACAATTCAACAAACTGAATTTCAAATTTCCAATAGTATTGGTAATGCAAGAATCTTGCTGCACATTAGCACAAATGTATTTCTGTAACTTTTTGATTTGTCTTGATCATCCGACGACTCAGGCTCAACTCACTTATGCCAACATAAAATGAACTAAACATATGTCAAATGAATGTATGAAATATAATTGAAGTCGGTGTTGAAAGATGATGAGGAGGTGGAATACATACCTACTTGAATACAGTGACATCATATAAAACGGTTTCTAGATAAGGACTAGTAATGCTGTTCAAGTGCATTTACACAGCTGCCCTTGTTTTGATTAATTTTTATATCGAATGAACAGTAAAAAAATACCAAACATTTTATCAGTACAACCAAAAAAATAGATTCAAAATACATTATAAAATAATCTTTCAGAACTGCAATACAATCTGATTGATCAAGTTAAGCATTATATTTCACTTGTCTCAAATTGAAGAAATTGTAACTCATATAATTCAACTCTTAAATATTTAAAGTTACATGAACAATCATTTCTGTCAGACATTTTGAAACTAGCAATACAATATTACAATATTTCCAAAATAGATGTCATTTTTTCTCTTAGTCACAGCGTCACCGTCACCGTGTTCTGTGGAATGCTAATCCCCTAGACTCATCATTCACTATCTGCCATTTTGTAGATGTATTTATAGCCTGTTTAAATTACAGCAATTTGTTTGTCAATATCATGTATTCTCTTTTGCATTTTTTATTCATGAACGTGATGGCCTTGTATCTGTATCAGCAGCACCCGATCTCCTTGATCTGGTTTCATTAGTTTTTTCACTGAATGCGGATCGTCTCATGGTGCTTCTTCGTAAGCTCTTGTTTGCGGCTGGCTGCGTAGTTTCAGCCATCATTTGTGTTGACATGAATTGCGCAACCTGATCCATGACATCTTTCTGCATCTCGGTTGTCATCATAAAAACATCGTGTTCTCTACTGTTATACATGATAGCATTTTGAAACATCAGCATTAAATCACGATGAAACTCTGTGGTTGTACGAGTAACTCCATTTTCAATATTTTTTTTGAGGTGAGATAAATCCATACTACGGTATACAGTAGTTGAATAGTTGGGTGCGATATCATCAGTCACAGGTTGCAAAAACAAGCTAGCATACCTATGACTTGCTACCTGTTTCCATAATATCATAATCGATTTTCGCCAAGCCTTCCAACTGGCAGTAGAATCAGGATCCATGTCACTGCTGTGTGAAAGTGCTGGACTTGATGGAAAACTGTCTGATACAAAGCTGCCAGGTGGAGCTGGAGTTCCAGGTAGACTTATCGACTGATGTAAAGTTTCATCAATTGAAAAATTAAAAGCACTATTATTAACCCCAGCAACTTCTGATGAAACAGTATCATCAGTCGAGGAATGTTTTCTCCGAGCCTCTGTTTCAATTAAATCTTCTGAATTTTTCTCCTGTTTCTCTACAGTAATATTTTGTTCAATCTTTTCATTTTTAGCGACAATATCTTCTTTCTGTGATTCAATCTCATCTGGTATAGGTTTAAATATGGAGTCAACATTTTTGGCAACGTTGGCATCTTTTTCAAATGACTCAGTTACTGTATAATCAAAGTCTGATTTTTCCTTAGTTTCAACTTTGTTTTCTTGGGGAACATTATCCAAGTTTTGGATTTCAGCTAGGCTTGTATCTCCTACAACAGTTGCAGCTCCAATTATCTTGCTTTCCTCAGTTTTCAGACTGATATCAGTAATAACATTTATGGCAGGTTCATTATCTTTGACAACATCGCCAGGCAATTTTAGTATTGTATCTTCATCAGGTAGTACAGTCCTTTGCAACTTTTCGATTTCATTTCTTATTTCTTCGGCTAGAGAATTAGCATCTTCAATTTCATTATTTTCTTGAGTATCAACATCTTTATCCATTGTATATTCCATTTCTTTGCCTTCATTTTCAATTTCATTAATAAGTTCATCTAACCGGTCATCGACTGTCCCTGATTCAATTAATTCAATTTCTCTTTTCAATTTGCGATATTCTGTTCTTTCATAACGCAATTGTTTTTTCAATTCTTCTATGCGTACTTTTGTTAAACGTGACACAATAACATCCTCTGGTGATGAACCAGGTTGTATATTTTCTGATGAATCAGAACGTTCACTTCCTCTTTTACGCTTCGGAGCATCCGTTTGATATACTAAAGCAGTGTATTGTTGGGCGCAAAATTTAGGACTAAACCAATCTGGAGGTCTGTCAGGTTCACCCAGTGGTTTTAAAAGTCTTCCCACACCCGACCAATGCTGTTCACCAGTTCTTAATACATATGAAGCAATTGCTAATTTTTCCCTCGTTGACCATTCTGTCTCAGGTTTCATATTTGTTGTTGAAGATTCTGAAGAATCAGCTTCTGCCATTTAATTTATGTTTTGCAATAATATTGAGTCGTTTTATCATCTCATAAGCATTACCAGTATCTTAATCTACGGTAATACCTTGAAATTTAAGCATAATCAAGATAAATAAAATGTCCATAGATGTAACGTGGCTCAGGTAATTACACCAATGAAATGAGACAAAAATCTGAATTTGAATTAAGCGATAATTTTTATAAAAAAATGTTCAATATGACGATGATCATTTATTTTAAAGATCATTATAAATGTTAGGAAATTACTCATTTTTTCAAGAAAAATAATTCGTATCTAACACAATTTGGAATAATTTCTTCAGACGATTACGAGACACATAGCCTTCACAAATATCAGCTTGAATGAAAATTATATCCACTTGAACCAATGGTTAAACAAGTACATTGAACCATGGAAAAATGATCAACATGTAAAGGGGAACAGCAAAATACTGTATAACCACACAATGAATTACTTGAGTTATGTCTGTTTCTTTATGGGATTCTTATTATAGTGATAGGTTAAATAAACATACATTTACAGTATCAAACTTTCAATATGCCGTGCCAAATCATTGAATTCAACACTTCCACAATAAGCATCATTGACAAAATTAGGAAGAAATTACCTTTTCAATGCACCCAGGGCAAAGGAACAACATAGGAATACCGAAGAAGTTGAACAAAATTTATTATGATTTAGAATCCAAAAAAGTATTATTTCGTAGAAATAGATTGTTATTCTTTTTCATCCCTTTCATACTGTTCCATTCAAGCCAAATCCAAGGCAGGTGGACACTAAAAATTTCCTGCAGTTTAACACAATATCCAAGTACTCCCGGTTTGGGAATTCAGAAAACAAAATTAAGAATTTCCTAATGTAAAATTTAGCTATTTCAAGAGTCACATCATGATCAAATTGTATGCGGTAAAATTTGCCATATTTCATTTCTATTTCATTTTGAAATAAATAAACCAATTTAGTCAAAATTGACAAAAAAAAAGAAACTAAGAATACCAAATTATTTGGATGCAAAAATTCCTATCAATGATAAACATTTGTAACATGCAATTATCATAGATAGCCTACAGTTATATATTTTAGTCAATGCACTGTAAACCTAAGGCATCTCACAAATAATAAAAACAATATCCACAAAACGAAACTCTCAATCAATATGAAATAAATATAATAAAAAATGCAGATAATTCATGTCTGTCAGGACTGGGAAGCCATATCTGTAATGTTTTGTTGGTGCAGATTAAAGGCAAGCTTCTCATGATAGATGGCGCTAGAGCTTTACCAGAAATTTTAGTGGCTCCAGCTCCCAACACATCTATTTATTTTTCATATGAATTTATAAATTTCTAATATCTTATAAAAATGATAAAATCTATCAATATTTTCAGCTTATGTTTTTTAAAATTTGATTCCATTTATTTATTTAGGTTTAAAGTTCGATTTAAAAATCTGAGACCTTAAATATTGCGGCATTGGAGCCTGAGCGGTGGTCAAAGTGATTTCCAAACAGCTCCCCAGTCCGGAATTGTCAATAGCATTACACCATACTAGTATTGCTATGATGCCATCCCCATACATCTTTTTCACTCACAATTACTGATTTATCCCCAACTGTTCTGATTTCCAGTTGAATAGGTGCGCTAGATAAATTATTAGATTGGGCTAATTCAGCATTTTTTGTTGGAGTAGAAACCAAAACATTACAACCTTCTTTCAATATTCCGCGCTCATGAGCACTAGCAAGTAAACTGACGACCCTTCGATCAACTTCATACTTAATCGACCGAGCACCATAATATATATTATACCCATCAGCTAAAATGGTGGGAATTGAAGGTGTTTGCCAAGTTATTTTAACTTTATGCTTTTTAGCAGCAATAGCTCTCCACATTTCCAGTTCTCTTTCCACAAGTTCAATTAATTCATTGTCTGAAAAGGGGAGGAAATAAACAAACTCGTTAATTCGTCCCAAAAATTCATCTCTACCAAAATGTCGTTTTAAAATAGGTTGAACCACATTTTCTTTGAATGAGCGAGATACGCTGCTATACTGGCTAGGAATGGAATTTTGATTTTCAGTTTCATCAAGTTTACTCTTTCTCACATTATCTGCTTCTCTTCGAAGTTTTGCACCGTATTGCGCAATCTCATCAGATGCCAAATTTGAAGTCATAACAAAAATGGCATTTTTGCAGTCTATTGTTCTCCCCCTTCCATCAGTTAAACGGCCTTCATCAAAAAGCTGGAGCAAAACTGTAAGTACATCGGGATGCGCCTTGTCAACCTCATCAAATAACACTACAGCGTCAGGTTTGGCTTTCAATTTCTTTGTCAGTTGGCCACCTTCATCATGGCCAATGTATCCTGGAGGAGCTCCAATTAATTTGGCAACTTCGTGTTTTTCTTGATATTCAGACATATCAAGTCGTATGAAGGACTTTTTATCCCCTTTATGTAAATAATTTGCTACCTGTTTAGCAAGTTCTGTTTTCCCTACACCTGAGGAGCCGAGAAATAGAAAAACGAGAGGATGATCCTCGTCATACCATCCATTCTGTTTTCTACGTATGCATGAGGAGACAGTAGAAATAGGTCCCACTTGTCCTACAATGTGCTCTTTCAATCGCTTTTCAAGTGGAAACTTGAGCCTTTCTTGGGCTTCTTCTGCTTCTTTTTTAACAGATTGAGCTTTTTCATGAGAAATCAATAGATCATATAATTCTTCGTTTTCCTCACTCACATATGAACTTGCTTTATGACCTAAATGATTCTTTATCAAAGCATCGGCTCCACGATTCAGTAAAGCAGTAACACAAGAATTAGAGTCTGCAACAGCAGCATAATGTAGGGCAGTAAAACCCAAAAAATTTGAATAATGATTCAATTTATCGCTAAAATTGTTTTCTCTTTCACGACGAACTCCCAATTCATCAATATGAAATTTATGAGAAATATGACGAGAGGTTGTAAACAAATCTGTATGATTGGGGTTTGCACCAGCATCTAACAAAGCCAATAAAATCTCAATATGACCATTGACTGCTGCTGCCATCAATGGAGTCCAACCATATTTGTGAGTGCTATTTATTATTTCATCTGCAACTTCTGCACTACATTTTTTCAATTCACCCAAGGTGTGTCGCAATCCAAATATATCCCCAGACACGGAGTAGTGCAGTATTGATGCCTTTAATTTTCTTTTCAGTAGAGAATCATTGCCTTCATCATTTGCTATAAATCCAATTGCTAAAAATAGCAGTGGCGAAAGTCTCGAAGCTGAACTAAACTTTGGATTTTCATTCGGATTTGTATAAATCAAACGAAATGTCTGATCTACTATTGATTTTCGAGAACAAGGTTTCAGACAGTGAATGGAAAACATTTTATAGCTGGAACATTTGTTTATTAGAAGTGTTCGTCTTGGCACCAACAAGAGTTTTTTGGTAATATTAATTATTCTTGCATTCATCATTATGACATACAGACATAAGGCTGTAAGGTGATGGTATTATTATACAATAAATTATTATTTAAAAACTTAACCACTATTCAGCAAGCAATGAAGAAACGACTCTGTCAAATGATTTAGATTTAATGGTTTCTCCAGGAATATAAAACGGGTTACACACTAATTCTGTGTAGGCATTATGAAGCTTACGAAACATACTTCTTATTTCATTATCCCTTTTTTGGACATTAGATGGATCCACTACAATAACAAATTTGACCTTAGTGTTCGTAACGTAACCGTAAACTTTGTAGTCTTCTGTGGGATACAATAAACCAAGGTAAAACTCACGAAGGTCAGATGATGTCCCAGAACCTTTGCCAACGCTGGCGATTTTTTCTTCTACAACGTCTAATGAAGTATGAACAGTATAATGAAATTTGAGTTCGTTTTCCTCGCCCGGCTTACAGCGTATAAGTAATGGATAGTTTTCTTTAGCAATAACAGCAATACAAACTGCCATAGCACAAGAATAGTCGAACGAACAACTTACAAATCCATGCGAATACACAGCACCGCCACCAACGCTACGGTATCTAAAATGGCGTCAGTGTTATAGCGCCTCCTGTTTCCTATCCAACGTAATATTGTTACACCACTGCGCTCTGAAGTTGGTCATCGCTATTCTGACTTTAATAGAAAGGCTTATCTCGGTAAATACATTGAAGATATACTTTTAAGATATAGGTTTCGCTTATCCTCCATTGCAGTCTGGAACCGGGATTACTTTTTTCTACCCGATGACAATTTTGGAACGTTATGAACATACAGAACTAAAAGATGCCTGAGACATATGGTAAGAAAATTCATTGTTTCAGGATGCATGTCAATTGTTTAAGTTGTGATGCCTTTTCTCTTGATTGCTTCCTACGAATTGTTTTCTATATCTACGTTATTCTCATTCTTTTTATTGTTTCAGTTCATTGTTTCATGTATTTTGTCCACTACTTCATGTACTAGTGCTCTACTTTGGTATATGGTATATGGTAAACAGTCAAGTCTGTTTTTCATATTTTATTATTTTTGATATATATAGTTTATTTGCTGACTCATCAATAAATTCAGTTTTGGTATATCTTTTATCTAGTACACTAGGGCCTTGTTTCCTTTTTCTAACATTAATACCTTATTTATTTGATATATGTATCAGTATGCGGGAAATAGGTACACATACAATCAGTATCATTTTTTATCAGCTTGGTATCTCGAGTCTTTGTCACAAGCTACATTCCATGATTAATCCCCTATTCAGAATTGTAGAATGGTATCAAATTAAAGATTATATGATTAAATTTGCTGAATTTTTCATACCGAAATAGATCATTGTTCAGTAATGTTTGAATGATGACAAATTATATCTCATTATTTGTTTATTGGCAATGCAGTGACATAAGTTGGTGTTTCCAGTAATTACGGTTCTATTCTTTTTCTTGGTACACTAGTGTCTAGGTTAAATTGGAAAATGGTAAAATCATATATATATATCTGTATTTAGATCTTTTTTTTTTGACTGTCTAAATTACCTTTGCTTTTCTTCCAATGTTCCATAACATGTTTATGTTTTTGTCATCTTATTTTTGGATGGCTGTAATAATGACTTAAAATCACTTTTGGATTTTTGTTAACTACTGAAGAGTTTCAGGTTAGGTCTTGTATTTCTTTTCCTGAGATTGGTGCTATTTTATGTTACCATAAATCTTTTTTCATTACTTTGTTCTTTATTTTTTTTTTATTGTTAGATCATTTTATTAATAATATAATTATTTAAAGATAATAACCAATCTAAGACCAAGCTTATCATTCTGAAACATCCTTATAAATACAGTTATTAATATTGTGAAAATAAAGAAACAATAATGTTTTGGTTTTTATGTGAGAGTGGTATCCTTTAAAAAGTATTTCTGGGCACTCCTGCTTATCCTATAATTGGGAGTACCTGGATGTTCAGACTTTTACTGCTCTTAGAAATGGTAGATAAATTGACAGGAAATATCACATAAGCATGAAAATTGAGAATACACAAATATGTTTGTATATTGTTAAGGGCATATCTAGTTAAGAGGGAATGTGTTATTTTTTGTAATTTTTTTGCGATTTGTGTGTTTGACATTCTCTATTATAAGATTCACTAACTGGTTTAAATGTTAAGCCGCAATATCGATATAATAAAACCTTGAATGAAGTATAATCAGCTTTCATAAACTGGCGCTATATAATGTATTATCGAGATAGTAGTTACAAAAATGGTTGATGCATCTTTCACTTTGAAGATGTGTGAATGATGGAAACTAACAATCTCTTCGTGTTATGATTGACATTTATTTCCATCATTCAGATTTTCTTTTCAAATTTCTTGTAATTGGAAGTGCTGGAACAGGGAAGTCTTGTCTCCTGCATCAGCTGTTGGAGAACAAATGTAAGTTAATTGAAAAGAAATATTCTAGGCTGTAATTTAATTTGTACACGTGAAGACTAATTTTTACTTTTTGTCTTCGGCATGATTGTATGAAAATTATTTCTGTTTAGTCAAGGGAGATTCCACTCACACTATCGGTGTTGAATTTGGATCAAAAGTTATCACAGCAGGCGGAAAAACCATCAAACTACAAATTTGGGATACTGCGGGACAGGAACGTTTTCGGTTTGTATATGTGTTCTCAACTTGACAAACATTCATGGCCAATTTGTATATGCTTTTCTGATGATTCCCAATGATATGTTAAAATATGATACTCAAGGCTTTTATTGGTTAACGCTGTTTCCTTTTTCTATATACGGTAATTCTATCTGAAGCAATTGCTAGCATTAATTAACTATACAGCTGTTGTGGTGATGTACCTTTATGTATGAAATACAAACAGTGCTTTCTTTCATATATAAATCATTAAATTATATAGAAGGTAATGTTGTATCGAATTTCTTGTAAAGGAAGAAAAAATTTCTTTTTATAATTATATGTTGATTCTTGGCAAGGTTTCCTGCACAAACCATCTATTAGTTACACCCACTTGCAAGTCTATATAATGATACAACAGCTGACTGCTTGTAACAAATATTATCAAAAATAAATACGAAACACACGCGACGGCTCCCAAGTATATTTTTAACATAAATTAATGCTTTTGTGATATCTCTTATTATTATATTTGCTTTAATTAATCTTGCTATTTTTTGTATATTTATTGATTTCCTATATAAGATATTATTGATTTAATATGGAGTAAAACGCCTTTTCATCAATTGTGAAATGATCAATAACTTGGATGGAGACATATGTCATTTTCTTACATTGTTAAGAACAATTTGGCCAGTCTTAAGATAACCATACAACCCATTTTTTGCTTTTCCTTGTTGACAGCTGAGATGGATAATTTATACAATAAGCAATATCATGGGAATATTTTTTTGCATGTTTACTATTTTTGTAACAATGATTTTCACAACTGTGATTTATAGAAAACTGATTTGAAGTTTTATTTTATTATTAATATTTTACACCTGCACTCTGAACAAGGACCTGTAAAAACTTCAAGCAGCTCACTATTTTTGTGAGGGCCTATTTGTTACACTATAAGTCGGGTGATGTGCACAGGATTTGATTCCAAGATCTTAACATATTCAGGTTTAACATTTAACCGCTTAGGACAATAGTCAACTCTTGCTGTGATAGCAATTTTTATTTACCATTATAATACAGATCAAACTTATATTTTAAAATTGAGTACTTTAGGGTATTGTGTGAATTATTTATTCAGATCGGTAACGAGAAGTTACTACAGAGGTGCAGCAGGAGCTATTCTAGTATATGATATAACAAGGTAAAAACTTTTAGTGGATTGTATTTCATGTGGTCATTCTTATGCATTTTGTAATTGGAATGATAATCTTAGCGTATTTTTTCGGCCTTGAGGCATAAATTTCGTTAAGCCATGTTATTGTGTGTTCCTTCGTTATATTTAGTTACGGTATTACCATTGAGTGACCCTAAATAAATGACAAAATATTGAGTGCATTTAAAAATTGGCTATATTATAAAATCAACGATTGGGTGATATTAGTTGGCATTTTATGATTTTGGCCTGCATGTGGAATCCCATTTTTACAATTCATAGTGCGTTATACAACTTTTATAAGTTACAGAGAAATGAGAAAAATGATATTCGAATATAAGTTATATCCTTCTGGTGAATAAAACAATGGCCTCTTTGTTACTGTGTGCTTCAAAATCTGGCCTACTTAAAGATATATAGCGATTGTTTTTTTTCTTAGGAATATACCATTCGATATAAGTAGGCCTGTTTCAGAGATAATTGAAAAATGTCATGGGTAGTTTGGTTATTATTTTTACTCTTTAATTTCAGTCGGGAGTCATTCAATGCCCTAACCAACTGGCTCAGTGATGCAAAAGCTCTAGCAAGTCCAAATATTGTTATTATATTATGTGGCAATAAAGTTGATTTAGAAGCAGACAGAGAAGTTACATTTCTTGAAGCATCCAGATTTGCACAGGAAAACGGTAGGTTGTGAAACGTTTTTTGCAGACTATATTTAAACATCTTGAGAATGTTCGTGTCAACTTTGCTGCTAGGTGCTAATATACAAATAACGATTCCAAAAATATATAATGTTCGTACTACAACTTATCTCAGAAACATTCCCCACAAGATTTTAACTTGTATGATGCGATATTTATATTCCACGATTTTTTGCAGAGATGATGTTTTTGGAGACCAGTGCTCTCTCAGGGCTGAATGTTGAGGAAGCGTTTCTCAAATGCGCGAAAACTATTTTGAATAAAATTGAATGCGGTAGGTCGTTATTTTTGTACGTTTGTGCCAACGCCAATTTCATAGATCTTTATAGTGAGTAGTACAGATAGCATTTGTAAAATGAGGTTTTTGTTTTGCCTTCTGATTAGCAAACCCATGAAAATCATGTATGAGGTACTTCACCCGCCGTCATCAAAAACTGATAAATGAATATGTTACTCATTTTCAGGTGAATTGGATCCTGCTAGAATGGGTTCTGGGATACAATACGGAGATTCATCATTAAGGCAGATGAGAAATTTGAGAAACGCTCACGCAAGAACAAACCAGCAACAAGATAACAAATGTCCCTGCGGATGAGGACTTTGCATTATATATAAAATGTTATAAATTTTATTTCCATCCATCATTACATATATCTATATATTATCACTCCTGCTGCACATGATTACGTTTGTACTTGACTGTTGTACCTTTTGTCTCTGTTTTAAATAGAGTGGCAAAGATTAAAAATCAGGACACTTGAATACACTGTGGGTAACTAAGATTTAAGTGGTAAAATGCTGTTCGAATAGTGTCCAGAATATTGATTAATTCAAGGAATGGCATGTACCGGATTAACTATATATATCATTAAGGGGTAAAGTTAGGTAGTGTGTGTACCAGGCCTTATTCCGATTTTGAGGACCAAGTGAATGCCTATTACACAACTTTATGTAAAGTAGGCGTCCCCATATTGGTACACATACGGTTCTGGAGCGCTTATTGCTGCATTCTGGCAAAAAGCATAACAATGGATGTTCAAGTTTTTCTGTAAAGCACTGCATTTTCAGACAATTGGGTGAATGATGACCACACCGAACAAGCACTTATCCTGTTAACTGAGGCAATAATAATACTAACAAGTGGTACAAGTGGTCCATAAGCATTTGTGCAATCATGATTTGTATGTATTCTTTCCATATGTTTGCTTGAAAGTCTGTATATGTATAAATAATATTACAATGTTCATTGCATGGTGATAAAAACAAGGGAACAAAAATAGAACAGTCATTGGCGCCATCTGGGTTGTGTGATCCTTCGCGCTGTTCGCCATTTTCAATAAGAAATCTTCAAATGTGAAGTAAAAGATATAGACTTCAAGACGCTTTCTTGAAACCTTTCAGAATTGGGTAGATGTTGTTGAAAGCTTCCTCTATCTCTGATCTCACTTTTGCACCTGAAGAGAATAGTTTAATTTTATAATAAGCCTAGAATATGTTATATGATTAAAAGATAACTTGTAATATGGGAAACACTCACCAGTGAGTACAACTTTGCCAGATACGAAGATTAGAAGTACAATGCGAGGTTTCACCATTCTGTAGATCAGCCCAGGAAAGAGTTCAGGCTCATAACTGTAAAATGAAATTCTATGTTAAAGTGCCCAGATTCCACGATGTATGTGTTAACTTATGTAACATTCCTAGAAAGTTTTCATAAATTATAGAAAGTATAGGCTACTGATGGTAACCATTTTCAGACGTTCACAACGGGCAGATCTACAATTTCCAATGCATATATAAAGAAAGAAATGTATCTAAAATGAAAAATTCCAGATTGTAACTTATGATGATAAGAAAAGTAAAAGTACCAACCTTGAGAATTGTCCGTGTGTTAAGACGAGGCCTTCCAATCGAATTGGGAACTTCACATCAACACTTCCCACCATGTTTTGTATTCGAAAATCTAAAAATTTTGCTGGAAAACCCAGTTTCTGTACAACTCTCGCATATTTTCTGGCAGCCAATCTTGAATTAGTTTCACTTTTAGCTCCTGTGCACACCATCTTGCCAGAACTGAATATTAAAGCAGTTGTCCGCGGATCACGAATTCGCATGATTACTGCAGCAAATCGCTAAAAATACATATTTACATTATTTTGGAATTTTTGTCAGCCTACTGGTAAGTTGTATAGCTAAACAGCTGACCATAATAGAAGAACTACCGGTAATCATGTTTTATATCAGTATCAAAGATGCTTTGGGCTAAATAAAATCAGTGAACCCTTACCTTTGGGTTATATTCAGCATTTCTAGCATGTAAGGCAATTTTCTTGAGATCCAACTTACATCCTAGATTTACAGTTGACACAATATTTCTGAAAAGTAAGAAAAAAATAACATCACCTATCATATTTGAGTCATTACTTTTTTTTTTGCAAGTCTACATGAAATATATTTTACATCATTACTACATGTATCAAATATTCCACAGAATTTCATCCAAAGTAATTTAACATATGACACAGAACAATCAAACCATATACTCACTGTAACATTGGTGGTCCGACCCCAGAATCGGCAGGAGTTCGAGGAGTCATTGGTGTTGCTACATTCACACTCAAGGGATAACCAGGAGTGTTCGCATGGTAATTACTCAATGCGCTAGGAGTGGGGACCTGTTCAAAATAAAGGAAAGATGAAACAAATCATTTCGATATGGTCTGCCCTATTGTCAAAATAATACCATTGGGTTTGATGGAAGAAAAAAAATATACTCATCATAAGACACAAGTAATGGTAAGTAAAGACCTGATTTTCTGTAACATACATGTGACATACTTGGAGATTGGATAAAGGTGCTGGACTCATTGCAACTGATGTTCTGTGTTGTTGAGCATCTGATCGTTCATCTTCGTTCTGACGATGTGACCTTTGACTTTCCAAAGTAACAAAGTGTTGATTGGATGCTAATGAAAGGAATGATATCAATCGTTACTCCTTGATGCCTTATAATACAAATACCACAATTAGTTTTACAATAGCTTGCAGGAACATGGTCTATTACAGACGAACAAATAGTGAAGGCCAATTGATACAAGGAGAGAGGATTTTATTACTCAGACATCAAAAAATGTTAAAAATTGAATTTTGGTTTAGCAATACTGCCTTTGTGAAATCAAAATAAATGGATACCCGGGCATCAAAAAATGTTAAAAATTGAATTTTGGTTTAGCAATACTGCCTTTGTGAAATCAAAATAAATGGATACCCGGGATACAATACACTATGGATACACTAGCAAAATTATGATATTGTGGGTCCCACATTCAGACATTATCTAGGGATATAAAACACAACTGTACACCTAAAAACAAGATACGACATATGCTATTACAAGCAAGGAAATTGCAAATTATTGCAAGGAACCTATTGCAGTTCATTTTGCAAGGTAAGTAGACTATGCCACTTTATGGCCGACTAGGATTAGCAATCATACATTGAAATTCAGATATTTGATCATTCAATTAGCCATCGCATATAAAGCAATTAAGTCGGAGGCATGTGAAAAAAACGAAGTGTACAGTTGGAGCACAATATTAGACTTAACAAACCTCCAGGTTGTGTATTTTGTTGATGCGATGGAGCTCCATACATCGGATGGCTTCCATACATACCGGTACCTCTTGGTGGCTGTTGGTGATGACTCACAGGGTTATATCCACTTGGATTTGGCAAACTTAATCCAGAACTTCCAGCCTGAATATAAAGCAAAATACATGTCTAATTTGGTAAGCAATTACTGAATCTGACAGTGACTTGCCCAGGAATATCCATTCTTGATAGAACAATACGGTAGCCTAAATACAGACGGTACTGAAATATCAACCAGTTCTGCAGTTAGGCTATATCTACGTATTCACCAATAGTTATAATGAATTTATAGATATTGTTCATTGGCAAGTAGACAAAGCAGTACAATAATGGTATTGCAAACCTGCACCAGGTAAGGATGTAAATTCAGTGATTCACTTACCTGATTTTGTGATAATTGTGGATTTGCCTGAGAAATCAAAGGCCGTTGTTGTCCACTAACACTCCTTTGTTGTAATATTCCTCCATGTGGAATAGTGCCTGGAATGACTCGCTGTGGATTCATCGTAAGGCAGTAAAAATTCAGGAAGTTAGGAAACACCGCCTTTCGAACTCAAGCAAGAGTAGTGACCTACACAGTCACAAACAACGAAGATACGAACAGCGACGACGTCAAAAATGAATGACAGCGCCCCAAGCGGAGTGAAATAATATCATTCAACTTTTTATTGCGTCATTTCCTTTATTTTTCATAGTGATATTAAATTCCAATTTATTAAAAATAATAGGTAAAAATTAAAATGATATATAAGTTTATGTATTATTCAAAATTTCTCGATAGCTAATGCGTACTGTATAGATTAAGACTAAACAAACTTTTTGAACAAAACAATTTTTACCTCCAACAGTTTTGTTTCACACAAAGCTTCTAAATACTACACGCGCACACTTAATAAACAATTGAATACGTGTTAATTTTAAAATAAAATCAGTCAGCATACATTGATAGCTTAATGGTGTTTTGGAGCTAAAGTGGTTTACAGGTTCAAAGCATTATTTTTAGTAAAATAGTTAGCCATGTGCCGTTTATGGGAACTGAAAGCAAATTATAGCCTTGTGCCCCAGTCTAGCGCAGCTTTTTCGTGACTGATTTTTGATTATTGTTACTAAAATGAAGCTTATCGGAAGACATAATGAAAAATAAAATATTCGATATACTACTATTTAGGAAAACCGACAAATAATACAACCTACTACAACAGTGGTCCCCCGAAAATAAAACCTAGGCTGAATTAGTCAACAACGCAATCTCTCGCTATATACGATACTCGTGACCTAGCCGGACTTGTTTAATGATTCTAACATATAATGACAACCAATTATTATTGAATTACTATTTTTGTTCTGTGCTTCAAATATTTATAGTGAGACATTATTTGTGAAAGAAAAACTCTCTCTCTCTCTCCTACACAATATTATTAGGTTAACTATGATATTACGACGTCAAATAAATTTTAAAGCGCATATGACGTCAATGTGGAGAGGGAATAAATGAAATGGTAGTGGCCAAGCCCCCCGATATGGTGGATGTGCGTAATGAAAATGACCGTGGTTGCAAATTCGCATTGTTGGAAATGTTCGTGGGTGTTGACGTTCCCGAGTACAGTATCATGTGCCCGCTCACCAACACGCATTCACAAAAAAAGAAAACAAAAAATAGTAATTCCATAATAATTGGTTGTCATGATGCCAGAAATAAACACACAAAAAATACGCGATTGTAATAAACTTACGGGCTGTTGTATTCTTATGAAAGCTGACGAGAAGCGTCAAAAACCGTGAAAACTACATTAATTTGGCATTGGTGAAAATGTGATACAAGAGAATCAAGACACATACAAACAAATCAAAGCAATGCTGGTAAATTCTGAGCTCAGCGGCTCAGGCAATTATAAAAACAACAAAAGAGTTGCGCCCAAATATATGGACACGTCTGTTCGCAGTACAGTACGGTTTACCGTACCGTCAGATCACAGTCTACAACAAGAGAGCTGTGCTCAAATATATGGACACGTAGCGCCACCTAATGGCAATAATTTTGATGGCGTCTTAGCAAAAAAAAAGTAATAGCCTTCTGAGGAAAATTTTTATCTTTAACCACTGAAAATTTCAAAGCAATTGGTCTAGTAATCATAGAGAAAAGCGATTTCTTCAAAACGTGTCAAAGAACAACACAAGAGAGCAGCGCCACCCAATGGCGATGATTTTGATGACGTCATAGCGAAAAAAAAAGTAATAGCCCTCTGGAGAAAAATTTTATATTCAACCACTGACCAAAGCAATTGGTCCAGTATTCGAAGAGAAAAGCGACTTTTTAAAAACGTGTCAAAGAACAAGAACAACAACAACATAATATTGAAACGATCGTTATGTCCACTACGTGTCCAAAAAGTAATAGCCTTCTAGCAAAAAATAATAATCTTTAACCACTGAAAATTTCAAAGCAATTGGTCCAGTATTCAAAGAGAAAAGCGACTTTTTAGAAACGTGTCAAAGAACAAGAACAACATAATATTGAAACGATCGTTATGTCCACTATGTGTCCAACAACAACCCAATATTGAAACGATCGTTATGTCCACTAAACGTGTCCAAAAATATATTCACACAAAGCGAAGCAGTACAGTAGGACACAAAATGGCGTCCGATGACCGCTGAACGTCCGGTGACGTCTTAGCAAACATAAACAAATCTCACAGAGCTAACAGAAATATTTAAAATAAATAAAAGTAATAGATTTCTCCGGAGACAAATTTCATCTTTAACCACCAAAAATTTCAAAGCAATGGACCTTTCCCCGAGCATCGACTTCCTTGTTTACTTCGTGACATTGGCCAATCAGCAAGATGAAAAAAGTGACGTAACAATGCCCCCTTTTTGCATCCGCTCAGACACTTTTCTCACTCAGACAGATTTTCAAGCGTGGTTGTAAACATTACCTCGTTTTCGCGTTTTTGAACTCTATTCGTTAGTTTTCAGTTGTGTTTCGGAAACTTAATAAAAATCAGATAATTCAATGATCACTCTGTCTCCCTAGAAGTTTTAATTTAATTGCAGTAATAAAAATTAGTGTAGAAATAGCTGTGATAGACTAGCCTGAAATTCTTTACCGGTACTTTGAAAAAACCGATTGTTGTGTGCAATGAATCATAAAAATGGTTTGAAACACATGCCCCATTTTACAGGCGCCAACTCGCAAAAGCACTCCTAAAATAGCACTGAAAATTTTGCAATGGTAAAGTATAGGAAGAATTTTTCGGGGGTCAAAAGTCGGGGAAAGGTCCATTGGTCCAGTGATCAAAGAGAAAAGGGGTTTTTTAATATTTCCACTAGGTGTCCGAAAAGTGTTAAACAACAACAAAAACAAGATAACAACAAAACGATCGTTATGTCCACTAAATGTGTCAGATTAGCGTATTATTGGTACCGTATATTGCGAGCATAAATCTCTCTCTTTCATAGTTTTGGGGCTGCTGCTTTTCCGTAGCATTTCTTTATGCATACCGGTAGTGCGACCATGAATTTTACATAACATTGTTATGCATTGTCTCTGGTGCGGTTGACGGAAAAACCAGCTTACCGGAGTGGCTAGATTTGTCTAGCTAATGTCTGAATGTTGGTCAGTTCCGGTAATCCCTCAAATCTCACATAACACACGTTAGGGTACAATACCGGTATCCTCGACCGAAAGCCAGAAAAACTTGAATCAGTATTCTAGAATAGAAACTAAATCTCTTTGTTGTAACAATAAAGTCACTGAATATTAAAATGACATTTTCAATTTTTGCTAAAAATAGAGGGATAAGACTTTTTGTTCATATGCGTTATTTACTTGTCCTACAAACATGTTCCTCTTGCTATGTTTAAAACAATTGATAAACCATTTTAAATTGCACAGATATTGAAAATGTAGCTATAAGGCTCAAGTTATGGAGTCTAATTTGCTAGAATCACTGCCTAGGCATGATGTTCTGTATCATAATGTATTCAAGTATTTATCTATGATCGATTTATTCCGGCTACGTGCAGTATGTCGACAACTTCACAATATGATGGAGGAATATTTTTCTCAATGCCATCATATCCATATCAAAGACTCTGATGGTATAGCGGATGCTACCACATTTGAAATATTAACAAAAAGCAATTCATCACTCCGGACCATTGTTATCCCCAATATCGGAGATTGGATAGACGACAACCTTCTTGTTCCAGTTATAAATGACTGCCCCAATTTATCGATCCTTAATTTATCACAATGTAAGGGTTTAACAAATAGAAGTCTATGCATATTAGGAATGTACTGTGAAAACCTTACTCATTTACGTCTGAAGGGTTGTACATGGGTTGACCACGACAATTTTATGGTGTTCATTTCCAACAACAGAAAACTGAAACTACTGGATTTACAGAAATGTTCTTTGCTAGATGATGAATGTGTGGAGTTCATGTCCAAATGCTGCCCAAACTTGGAATATTTGAACATATCAGAAATTAACCAATTGACTGACCAAAGCCTTGACGCCATTGCAAAAAATTGCCGCAAGTTAAAGCATTTGGATATCATAGAGTGCTGGAAAATGACAGATTCTGGTGTAAAGATAATAAAGGAATATTGTCAAGAATTGGAGACACTTAATTGCGAACACTGTACTAGCATTTCCGAGGATACACTCGAGCCACTTCGTGTCAGAGGAGTTAGCGTAGACATTCAAGGACGTTTGGAAATAACTCTACGAAGACTGGAACATGTGATTGACTATCTTTCTCCTTTAGTTAGGCAACTAAACCACAACCTGTGATTTTATATGGAGCAATATATATTAGTATTTATAAAGTACCATGGACCTGCATTTTTTTTACTATGCAAATAACAGAACTTAACAAAAAGTCGCGAATGACCACCAGCTATGTAGAAAAGAGTATTCACTATTTCAATAACAAGCAGGTGTCCCTAGAGTTAATGGGAACGAAATGTCTATGTCACAACAGAGATATAAGTTTTAGAGCTGGTTAATCAGATTTTGAAAACTATATTTCGATTAATGGCAATTTGATCTCCAAATAGGGTACGAATTCAAATTCTTGCTGTTGATGTAGTTTAGCCAATAGGTTGTTATCAGTAAACCAGTTTTCTCAAAATGTAAATTGTAATTGCATGCATAAAGTGAAGACAATCTATATCAAACCCATACAAAATGCAGCAGTAGTTGAATCTTCCCTTGAAGTTGTTAATAAAACAGGTGAAAATTTATCCAACAAAGCCAGCAACTGAGTTCTTGATAAATTTTCATTATACATTATTTCTTCCATGTGACAGTTTCCATCAAAATATTTCAACAAATTTATAAATAATCTCAAATCTTTAGCGCTATTGGATGCATGGACATCCATAATTGCTTTCCTTTGCTTCCAGGGCAATCCTGCAATAATTGAACGAGTCTCTATATTTTGAATCGGAGGCTTCTGCTCGCTCATAGTAGACTGTTGGTCAGCCTCAACAGGGCAGAAATATATAAAAGTGTGCATTTGTATTAAAAACCGATGTTGCAAGAGCCAAAACACAACTTGAGCTAGCTTATCTTCTTCACCATAAAATAGTCCGTGTGGAGTTTGGAAATCACTGAGACGAACTGGTAGTGAAAAATTTGACAACACATCCACCATATCATGGTTGAACCTCATGTAAAAAGATCTCGCTGCTTCTGAATTTGGATTTAGTTCTGCTGATGGCGCAATAACATAGATATTTGAATCGCATAGCGGATATATAATACACGCTTTACCCCAATATACCAATTGTGACGTTAAGGTATAAATTTGAGTTAGCGGCAAATCTGCATCAGATGCAGTACATTGGAGCGATTTTGTTGGTTCGTAAACTGTTAATAATCTTGTAAGAGATGGAGTATAATCATCTGGTAAAGTCGACCATATTTCCTTTTTGTCAAATATGAGAATGCCATGATATGGCCTTATTTTTTCTATAGCTTTTTCAATGAAAGAAACAGATATTGTATTTTGTCCATACGAAGCCATATTATGAACTTTGTGAGGCAAACAAAAACTAATATGTGTTGAATTGTTTACTTTAACAGACAGGATACCTGTTTGACAAATACTATTGAATATGATGTGAAGCTGGTCGGCCAGGTGGGATTTTTCTAATATAGTTTTATAGGCGTGTTCAGGCTCTGCCATACACTCAGATTCTAAGGACATCTCGTCATGCACTGACAGCATAAGCCTTGTTTCGTGGGTCAAGTAATCGGAACATTTTTCTTCAAATCGCAAGGCAAGACCAAGTTGTAGTGCCAACTCTTGGTACTTTTCAACTATGGTGTACTCCGCTACCGCTTTTAATACAAACACAATGTTGAATGACAAAAGTGTAGAATCTTCCTTTTTCTTACAACCTTCATGCTCTTTGTTGTGTTGCCTATATTTTTCCAAAATATCAAACTTTGATAATACACTGCTGAATTGGTCAATAACCAAAGGGAAACCTACAAAACGGATTCCATTCGTCTTTAGGTCAAACTTTTTTCCACAAATCTTGGTGTTTCCAGGACTGAGTATAGTTGCTAGTAGTTCATCACTGAAAGAATCCAACTGCTCTGCTTCATTTCTTGGTGCCTTTTTTACATCGTCCGAATCATCAGACACTGACCCATGTTGCCTGTTTAGATGAAAAGTTGATGATGTCAGTTGTTTGTAGGAAGACAATGGCTGAGTATCACTTTGAGATTTATTGTATGGATATCTGAACAACAGCTTACTGGTTATTCTACTGCCATACATTGATAACATGATACTTAATGGTATCCATGGTTGATCACTTCCACTCATAACTGAAAACACTGAAAAAAAATAATTACAGTATTGAGAACCCACTGAATCAAGTTTTTTTCTAAACAATATTGAGTAAAAACCCGAATTTCTCAGTAGAAAGCCCAGTCATAAAAGTACAAACACCTCTGACCAAAAAGTAAAGTAATGAAAAAAACTGCACCCTTTATTTACAAAATGCAGTTTGAATACAACTTTCATTAAACAGGGAAGTAATTTATTGTGACTTTGATCTTTGTTGTATGTCATGATAGGTGCATTTGCTTAAAAAATAATCCACAATGTCAAGTTATTGGTATATAACACAATTTATAAATTAGTATTAATGTCAAGCTGCTATAATTTTCAAAACATTCAAGAGGTTTTCTGCACAGATAATGAAGTAGTTTAGCTTCGAAGAAATTTATTTTTTGAACTTTTTGGTTGATAAAACACCCAACAATATTGGGAGATATAATACAAATAGTCACAAATCTTTCGTCAAAAAGCTCTCGCAGCCATTTACAAATAGCATGTCACTCGAGTTGAGGAATGTGATCCATGTCATTTCTCTATGCCTGATAATCACAATATATGAAGAATCATGTTATGAGTCACAGCAAACTAGGGACATGCATAAATTCCACTTTGTATTTGGGTATATATTGATAACGGAATTAAAAAAGAACCATTAATGAATTTGAGCAACGAGATAGCTTTTCCTCTGATCACAAAGTAACAACCCTGTCTGAATTGTCTTTGTCTGTTAAAAAGTTACTGAGTAATTGAGGCAACTCTGGTGCCTTGTATATATCCATGTGCCCGTATCCATGAGATGCTTTAAACTTGACAAATTCAATTCTTTTCCGCCTGTCTGTTTGAGTCGCTTTGCTTACTGCAACATAAAGTTCATCACTATGTTTGCACTTTATATCACTATCATCCTCCGCATGCAAGAGCATGATAGGACAATTCACTTTTGCTATATCATTGATAGTAGATAAAGAAATATCCTTAACAGTTAAAGCATTCTCAAGAACAAAGCGAAAAATAGATTTAGGATAAATAACCATAAATATCTGTGAAAGACTGCTGTCCTCCGCTCCTTGTCGAACATTAGTGAGAGCTCCTTCCAAAATAAGATTGTCAATTTTATAACCAGTATTCAGATTATGGTCTTTCTCACAAATATCAGCAGCTTTTTTGGCTGCCAGTGTTGCTATTGACGATCCCAATGAATGTCCCCAGTATGTTAGTTTGGCGTTGGATGCAATGCTTCCCCTCACCCAATTGAGAATGCATAAAGAATCGTTGACTAAGCCCTTTTCCGAAGGCCAGCCTGTTGAATCTCCAAATCCTCTGTAATCAAATGCAATGATGTGATATCCTTGAGATTGCAGCAATTTGTATAGTTCCGGTCTTTGGTAATGGTCCCCCGTTCCTCTTGACATACCATTACCATGATGGTATACAATAACATGTTCTGCATCTTTAAGATGGGTACGAACTACATCCGATGTCAATACATCGTCTTCCTTATATTCTGTCATTTTAGATTTTGGTAAAACATGCCAAACCCCAAGTTCATCATTGTCACATTGCATTCGAAATGAGGCTGTACCAAAGAGTTCATATTGAGTACTTGGCTGTGATAAAGATGCAGGTTCATTCTTTGCATAGTATAAATTCATAAATACAATTTGCTCTACTATTTGTGGTATAAAAGCCAACATCAAAGGTATTGCTACATAAAGCATAACAGTGAAGACAATTATTGACTTTACAACAGTTTTGCTTCCGCATGATGTATCATCTATACTTTCATTCGAAACTTTCACTTTTCCATGTTCTTTTTTATTCCCTTCATTAGATTTCCGCTGCCACATACCAAAAGTTTTATACTAGCAAATACAAGACACTGTTAAGAATCAACATTATATTAAATAAAAAAAAAACATTGCTCATAAACAAATCTGTAAAACTTAAATCAAAAAATATAAATTGACTGTTTAAATGATACTAAACAAGCATGGAAAGAAAATTTTTGATTGTCCTAACATCTTTGAGAAGCTGTGGAATTTCAGGTGCATTGTATGCATGTATATGCCATAACCATGTACTGCATAAAATTTAACAAAAGTAACTTTTTGGTTTTGTTTCATTCCATGTGTGCGAGGAATGACATCTTTACATACAAAAGCATTAAAGGGCAGCGAATAGGTGGTAAATTATTATCAGTCACTGGGAATCTATTTGCAATCGAAAATGATGGATCTAATGCTTTACTGATGATGAATACCCGAAAAAAGGAATTATCTGCAGATCCTCTTCTGCCATCAGCAAACCCTCTTTTAAAACAAGTCCTTCAATTTTGCACATTCGTCAAACAATTTTCTGGCAGCAACGGATGCGATTGATGCATCCAAAGAGTGCCCCGTAACAACACAATTGTGTCTTAGTGTTCATTCTCACACACTTGAGAAGGCATAGTGAGTCATTGACAAGACTCTATTCAAATGGCCATCCAGTAGAGTCTGTAAATCCTGGGTAATCGAAATCTATAGTGCAGTATCCCAGAGACTGTACGCTTGTGACATTCCAGCACCATGGAGATATAGTATAAAAATCTACGGATTCCTTAATCAGCTGATCACAACATTTTCACTAACCACTTCATCTTCAACATGGAGATATAGCATAAAAATCCACGGATTCCATAATCAGCTGATCACAACATTTTCACTAACCACTTCATCTTCAACATGGAGATATAGTATAAAAATCCACGGATTCCATAATCAGCTGATCACAACATTTTCACTAACCACTTCATCTTCAACACAGTTTAAAAACAAAAATATCATCACAACCGCCTCAAAAATAATTCCATACTGAACAGAATGAGTCACTAGCGTTTTTATGACAGATTTCCGTCCCATCTCTATTGCTACTTTTGTTTGGTTGAGTCTTCACAACTGTCAATCTCGGTCTAGTTTTTAATAATTAATTGACTAGAAACATATTGGTGAAACACAAATTATGAAAAATTGAAAAAAGTGATGAACATAAAATTATTGTCTTGAATTGATGATAATATTTGAGCAATAAAACAGACACTTAAAAATTAGAATTATAAATTCACTGAATAATAACACCTAACAGTGGCAAATAATTAATTTCCTAGTCAAAATAATTTTTTTTTAGTGACATTAATCCTGCGATTACCATTATAAAGATAAAATGACAATTTACCGTAGTATTCGAAGAGGGCCATAAGTGAATTACTTGTGAATAAATACTGATGTTCAGGTCAAGGCAGTCGGTGAACAAAAGACTTGAACTATAAGTTCTTTCGGATGTTAGAAGTCTAGGGAGTAGGGCATATTCAAAAAACACGAGGTATGTTTTACAGACTGGAGGATATCTGAACAATAATGTGGGAATGCTTTTATGTGATGTTTCAATAATACAACAATTAATTTTTCATTCAGAAATTGCGATAACATTACTGATAAATATACTTTAGAACCGGAGTATATCGGCCACAAGTGAAAGAACAGTCAGACTACTTGCATTTAAATGGTGGTTCACTAACTGCCTGTAACCTGTATCGAAGACATCACAAGCAAAATCTATGATGTAGTTATAGTTGACAAAAACATAAAATAAAGTGACTCTACATTATTATTGAATATGCAATATTCACAAAGTATGATTATTTTATATGCAATAACACACTGTATAATAAATTGCACAACCACTATAATTGCAATAATGTGGTTCAAACTACACTAAGGAAACAAACTCTAACAAGGCAGCATTCCAACCTAAAAGCAAACTTATTCCACATCTATTTATAAGACGACTCGTGCTGAATATATCCCCTTACAAACTTTTTGAGGTTGATACGACATAAAACAATGTTTGAAAATTTTTTTCCAAATTACAATTCAGTGAATTACAAAGATGTGCAATGTTTAGTTTAATAAGAAAAAAATTGTTTGTTTTGTTTATAATTGTTAACACAACATCATATTTTAATGATCCAACATTATAGTCCTGAATATATTGATGATGAATATCGTACTGAAAACAGGTTGGAAACTTATATATAGCATTAGTAATAGCTAGATGAGAGCTATACATGTAATATGCACAACTTTTTAATGAAGTATAAAAGAAAAACAAAGAAATATATTTTATATGACTTTGATCATAAAGATTTACAGTATGTATGCAGAGCAATATAAGAATAACAATATAATACAAGCTAACTCGATATAAAGTTTCTGCAATAATAGGGCTATGTTGTATAATAATCCGGCAAGATGCCATTATTTCAGGAAATTTCTGAACTGGATGGTGACATAAATCCGAAAAATGTCAACATAGCATAGAGATGTCCAGGGAGGAAAGCATATGCCGTATATGCAGACATTGCAAAAATAATAACAGCTCCAGTATCTGGAACAAAAATAGATATTAATATTCTTCGATGAGTATAAAGCAACATGCAGGTAGAAATTGTTTGATTTTTAGATAAATGTGATATATATGATTCATACTGAAAAATCATTTCTGGTGTTTGGGGGAATCATTAGATTACGGTAGTTCCATCTTGAATATGTAAGTAATCACATCAACTTTGGGAGCCATTGGTAATAGTTTATTTTCTCATGTGTAAGAGGATCAGACAGGCAATAAATCTATAATCAGAGGACAGATGTTTCAATTTTAAAAATTGATAGTAAACTTGATCAATTCCAAGGTTTACTTGAACGTATATTCATAAAGGAATTCCTAAATTCAAATACTTTATACTTTATTACACAATTAACTTACTGAATATGGCTCTTTCCCAGGCATCGAGCATCCACAGTCCAGTGCTAACACAAAAATAGAAATATAGCCAATTAATGTATTCCAAAACCGTTTGAGGTTTCTTCGGCATCTTTTCCATAGGCATGTTGGAATGAATTATAGCAGAACTAGTGCATAAAATGAAAACCAGATGTCCAGCTTCAATTTCTAAAAACGCAAAAATACATTATTATGAAAAATTGTGCTAAGCGTTCTGGCGTTAGGAATACGCTCGGCATCCACATCTCTGATTACCATTCGTGGGATCGCAGGTTCAAATCCCATGCGGGGATGATCATGTGCGCGAGGATGGGTGGACTCCTCGCCGCCGTAGTTACGGCTTCCTCCGCCATCAAGTCCATGCTTCCGAAAACAAATACCGTACCTGGCTAACTAATCCCATGTCAATCCTAACCTCCCTGACTACACCATCCAAAAATTACTTCACAATCACGTCATACATCTGTACAGCTTGCCAAAGTAAACCTACGATCACCCAAAATGGCATCTGCGCTCATGATAAAGAACTCACTAATGGCAGCGATCTCACCGATATCAGTATAAGTACAGAAGAACCGTATAACCGGTACCGTACCGGTACCTTAGCGCAGTGATTCCCAACCTTTCTACCCTGGCGGACCGGTAATATTAAATTAAATGTACTCGAAGACCGGCAAAAAATTGAAATGACCGGAACAGAAAAGAGTAACACATCATAGGCCTACTTGCGTGATATAAAGCAATGCCGGGCACTCAATATGCTTCTAGACAAAAAAGGCACACTTATAAACATTTCACACGAAGAAAAACTATCAAATAATGCGCCGGCCAAAAATTGAAATGGGTGAAACATTAAAATAATACCATATATATATGCGTAATAAAATGCAGTGCTGGCCGCTGGGTGTCGCGGCCTAAAATGTCCGTGTTCATATTGTATATTTTTATGTTTATAAACAGTTATGTCATTATGTTGACCCTTGTTTAATGCTGTTTTGTCGGATTTGGACTCCGACCACTGTCTTTCGATTTTTTTTCCAGATGCCGCGCTGGCGGTCCGTTGTGTTCTCAGTTCTTCAGTGGTGTTTTGTTTAATCTGTTATGCTGTTTTAAGTTTTATATTGTGAGTTGCCGTACAATAAACAAGCAATCCTTGAGTCTTATGATTCATCTTAAAACCACACTAGCAACATCTTTCTACCGTGACACTGGGCAGTGAGCACCCATTATGCTTATGAAAGGCACACATAAAACATCTCACATACAAACATGTACATGCCAAACCATGCACCGTACAAACCCAATTAACTCTAGTGAGAATTTTGCTGATGTTTCGTTTCCAATATAGGATTGCAAACGATGCATCAAAGAAGTTTCTGCAACACGTAGCTGTGCAGCGGCGTGCAGCCGATTTCTCTGCCTCGTTTTAATTAAAGCTAGTGAGGAAAATGTTTTTTCGCATAACGCATAAGTAACTGGTTGAAAATACGGACAACAGTTTGATTGCTTTTTATTTTTCATCGAGTTTGTCATATGAATCCCACTGAAGTTGATCGACGCCTCAAACAAAATGAATTTACATTACAATGACCAAGTCGTCGGTAACTTGGCATCAGGCTCAAAATCCTACTGTCCCTGCTCAAAATACTGAAAAAGATCTCTGCGGCCCATGCTTTTTTGCGCGTCTCGTGACCACCTGCAGGATCGCAACAAGTTCATATCTTACTGGAATATTATACTGTTCTCGACTATTTTCTGGTTTAAACAAAGAAATATGCATAACGTTTTACATGGATGGTCATGTTAATCAGGAAAAGCATGCAGAACAGAAAAAGTATGCGTGCCGATTTTCAGGTTTCTGAATTTTGCGATATTTGATGGAGCGCATTTGAGATGAATCGGAGCCGAAAAAACGAAAAGTGTGATTACTCAGCGCCTAGATGTCGAGAAAGTCGTCGCCAAGATGTCGTGAAAGACGTCGCAATATGACGACGGGAGAGAAATTGCGTGATAAACCAACGCAACCTTGTCTTCGGTAAAGCGATTAAGACGGCAAAAAAAACAACAAAATTTCTTGCGGGCCGGTGGTTGGGAACCACTGCCTCAGCGCAAACATCTCGATCTCTGCCTTGGGCATTCACATACTAAGCAGTGTTTCGCGAATATCAATATCTCTGCTGCAGCCACCTTGTGGGCGACGACTTGCTGGCTATTTTTTCGTCGGATAAAGAACAGGTTAGCCAGCCCCCTAAACCAGTTAAGTGATTCTCAAACGAGAGAATATAAATAAACTGGATTGCTCTGAGATTTTCAATGATTGAAGATTGTTGTTGTTGCTAGAACGTTATTACTTTTATTTATTTCAAAAATTGCTGTGGGCTCTATTGAATTCGTTTCTCTCTTTAAATTTGTGTCATGACGTGATCAAAATTTAAAAATTCTGCTGCACTTAATCTCTTTTTGGAAAACCTCTCTCTCGATTTTGGGGCTCAATGCAACGTTCCGATTTGAAGATCACTATGGCTGCAATTGAAATCATTACGTTCTTCTCCACTTACTTAAGTGAACATGGGGTTTCTGTGCTTTTTGAAATGAATACTTCAATAAAGCATTCTGATCACCACGCATTTCTTGACTGAATATTGGACACGTTGGTGAACATAACGATCGTTTTGCATTTTATGCTGGCACTCTTCTTGTTGGACATAGTGGACATAACGATCGTTTTGTTGTTCTTGTTCATTGACACGTTTCGAGGAAATCGCTTTCCTCTTTGATTACTGAACCAATTGCTTTGCAATTTTTAGTGGTTAAAGATAGAATTTTCTCCAGAGGGCTATTACTTTCATTTATTTCAAAATTTCCTGTGGACTTCAAGAGATTCGTTTTTTTTTTGTGCGAATTGGTGATCACAATAAAAAATAGTGGCACCTTGTGGCGATTGCGGCGAAGAAGCGAACGTGATTCTTCATCGCTAAGAGTTGTTGTGAACTGGTATGTTAGTCGTTAGCGGTATCCGTACATGGTGTTATGATACAGTAGTGTTTCGGATAGCTGGTGTTACTGCAGTTGCAAGTCGGATCATCTTTCGATTTCAATTAAAGCTGGTACAAGCCAGAAACTGGTGAAGATAGGACAGTTTCGTTACCGCAACACAGCACGGTGACTTACTATTGCACAAAATTCAAGTTTTGTATACTAACGTATTAGTTTATTTTGATAACAGAAAATGAATTGAGTTTGTATATGCCAAAGAAAAACCATTCCACGATCGAATACCGGTATCAGGCTTACAGGTACGGTATGGTACTGGTGAGTTAAGGCACAATGCCGCAGTGAATTACGCTCTCATCTTTTTTGTTACAGTTTTGCCGTGAATAACGAAAGTATGCTAAGGAAGAAGCATTACAACCAGTGGTGGGATTCAGCCGGTTCGCACCGGTTCTATAGAACCGTCTCACGAAATTTTATGAGATCAGCGAACCGGTTAGCATTACTGGTTATTGTCAATGTTCTGTTTGTTACAGAACTGGCTGAAAAATATGACTTTTGTGAAGGAACCGGCTGACAAAAAATTTGAATCCCACCAGTCCACCACTGATTACAACTTCTCCAATATTTTTTAACATGTGACGTAGGTGTGCCAAAGCATATCAAGTTCATTTACATGTTTACTCTTACTGCATTTTCAGTCAAATTAACTTGTTCCATTTTATTTGTACGCTTGCACAGCTGCTGTGTTTATGCTTTTCTTTTTGCTTTTTTTCATTACAGTTCCGCGGTAAACAACATCAATATGCCAATGAAGAAGCATTGCAATGTTTCTAATAGTGTTCAACATGTTATGAAATATGGTGGTCGCGGTTTTATCAATGCAAGAAATATTTGCTGGTTTAACAGCGTGATGCAATTATTGCGAATAGCTTTCGTGTCCATATATTTGAGCATTGCTCTCTTGTTCTTATTTGTATTCTTCTTTCCTGGATTTGAACTGTTTTAAATATCCACCAAAGAGCTCCCGATAACCATCATTAGGATTTACTCACTTATCGACACAATTCGCTATTCCTGTCTTCGTGTAAAACCCTGTAAGCAATTAATAATAAGTACGATTAACGGAAAGTCTTCCCGAATTAGAAAAAAAGTCATAAATCGTTATCTTAACCCTGATATAGACTGAATTTTATTGTCGAGCTGAAGCTTGAACGAATTTACTCAATTTCATCTTTTGGTCTCACTATTCATAAGAATTAGATTTGGAATAAATATATATTTATATCGTACCTGGCTCGGAATGCGCTAAACAAAGTTGGATCTCTTTGTCCTGCCGTTGATATTTGGCATGTGAGTGCTTAATATGACATTATCACTTGTGTAAACAATAGAGCTATGCTCAAATATGTGGACACGGGAGGCAAAACGAAATATTTTATTACCAATTCCCCGAAAATCATATGCCGTAACTTACCAGTAACTGTATCGGGATACCGTGACGATACAGGGACTGTCACTGCCATAGTCTTTCATGGTCCTGTGACGACGATCCATTCTTTATAATTCAGTTTCAACGTGAATTGAAATACCAAGTGACCCGAGTCACTTCTCTATTACCAGATTTGGTACCGCAGTCTACGATTCCCCATAAAAAACTTTCCAAACGCATATTCGGTAACTTACCAGTCAGTAACTGAATCGGGGCAGCAATAACGGTACTGCGACTGTCACAGCTTATCCAGGTCCTGTGCCGATGATCCATTCTTCTTGATGTGAATTGAAATACCATCTGATCCGAGTCACTTCTGTATTACCAGATCAGGAGCGCCATTCACTAAACTTTGTAAAAAGCCGGGTATACGATCACTCAACTGTGTCTCTCAGAACCATGATAGCGAAATCTCGTTAAATGCGATTCACCAAAGACCTCGTAAGAACTTGACGCACGGTCAATGTATTCTCTCGAAATCTTACGCACGGTTGCAGTTGAACAAAATCCACTGACTGATCACTCAGCCGTATCAGTTGTCGCCGCCTACAGTCGAGCGTGTTTCTCGGTATCCTATCGGTTTTCTCAATGACATTAAACCAGGGGTGCACAACACGAGGCACGCGTGCCAAATTTGGCACGCCTTACGCTCAAACGTGACCCGCGAACCTTTTTGTGAAAAAAAATATTTATGATATACATTAAAATATCACGTTTATATATATATCAGCATTTTTTTTTTCAGGACATTAAATTGTTTAAATAAAAAGATACTCGTTATTAT